GTGATCACACAGGCTGATATGTTCTTCCATGTGGGTTTTGTTGCTTCTGAGCTAGATCGTCGCTTGTTTACCTTCAAGCTTTTAAGGTAGATTGCTCTTGACAATTTGGAATAGACTTTATTTTCTTTCCTTATTAAAAGGGTTACTGGGACATAATCCACATAATATTCAATAGTGCAGTCACATCAAGAAGAGTTGTTTCAGGGGCTCAAGTGGGAAGAGACTGCTTTGAAAATGATGATGGTGGCATAGGTACAAATGTGCTTGACACATTGGAGGAATGTATGGATGGTGATAAGAGATGTAAGAGCCCCCGGTAAAAGTATTTTTTTAAAAAGAGCTGCAAGAGCCCCCAATAAAATCTTTAAAAATAAATATTAAAAATAATAAAAAAGAAGAGTTGTACAACCATTAAGCTTTTAAATGAATTAAAAAAACACATGCCTCATTTTAGTATTGATGCATGTAAATATGCAGCTAACTAAAATTGCGCACACAAAACAGAAAGATTAGGAGAGGTGGTGGGCAGGGGCCGAGTAGCAAATACAGACTCCACCTCTGTGCGGGCTCCATCCTTGCCCTCAAGCTAGGGCGGATTTGAGAGGGATGTGAAGTCCATTCTGTCTTGCAATCTTGAATTAGTTAACTTTTGAGGGCCAGTTTTCATGTCTTTCTAAAAGGGGAACTAAAACATAGTCCCCGTGACCAGTGTGGAAATTACACTTAATAGGAAAAGCAGAAATCCCACACAAAGAATCCCATTCTCTTCCTCCTTTCCTTAATTTCGAGTCTGTAATACGGTCCCTGTTTCACATCACCCTGAACGTGTGGATCTTGCCGGGTCTTGCCAGATGGCAGGGTCTGGCCGGTTAGCACTCGCACGATGTCGTGGTTAGTTAGATTCTCTCAAGTCAGTTCTGGCTCAAACTGACTCCGTGTACAGCCGAACAAAGACACCGCTCAGCCCTGCGCCATCCTCACAACTGCTCTGATGTTCAAGCCCACTGTGGCAGTCGCTGTCCCATCTCAAGGACCTTCCTAGTGTTTGCTGTCCCTCAATTTTCCCAACCAAGATGTCCTTCTCTGGGGACTGGTCCCTCCTGATAACACATCCAAAGCAGGGGAGATGACACCTCCCCGTCCTTGGTACTGAAGGGCATTCTCGCAGTACTTCATCCAAGACAGACTCGTTTGTTGTTTTGGCAGTTAATGGTACTTTCAATATTCTTCAGTCTTCCTCTTCAACACCCAACTTTCACATGCATTTGAGAGCTCCAATTCTAATGAATGAGGAGCCCTGGTGGAGTAGTAAGTGTTGGGTTGCTAACCATAAGGTCAGTAGTTCAAAACCACCAGTTGCTCCTTGGGAGTAAAGAGTTACCGTCTCGGAAACTCACAGGGCCGTTTCTATCCTGTCCTTCAGGGTCGCTGTCTATGAATCAGAATCAACTCAACGGCAATGAGGATTTTTTTTTTAAATTTCCACGAATCTTCTGCCTTTCTCTTATCTACACAAACTCCAAATCAAGATAACTCACATCACAAGCCATTTTCTAAAATGAAGCAGCCATGAAGCTTACTTCATTAATAAATCCCATATGGATATTCCAACAGCAGCAGGGACTCATGCAACTTATTTTTTCTCTTTACATCAGGAAAGAAGAGAAAAATATCTGAGAGGGATTCTTTGAGAAAAATAAACACAAAACCATTCCATTCTAATTAAAAGATACACTTTCTCTTAAAAGTAGCAAAAGAGTTAAAAACAGCATCATATCATCATACTAAGCCTGCAGATACAAGCAGTCTCTCCCTCAGCTTAAACCATACCACTTCAGAGAACAGCAAGTGTGAAGGAGAAATCTCATTTTGTTTTGTCCTGGGGTCATGCTGGGCTCCTCTGCTAAAAGCTGATGGCCAGCCACAACCTGAGCAGGCTGGTGTCGCAGCAGCCGGGGTTGCCCATGCCGGCTCTGCTCCGCGCACTGGGTCTACTCTGGGTCACTGGGTCTAGCTTTCATCAGAGTTGTCCCACATAAAGAGTAAACACAGTACCTGTCTCTTCTCTAGATAGCTGAGAGCTTCATCCATCATCACAGGCACTGAAAGAACAAACCATTAATAAAAACCACTTCTGGAGACAAGTCCCTCAGCCCCGGCGCACCCAGTTTGTGAATGGGAAACATCTGAACAACCTAACTCGCGCCTTTGGGATCCACCTCAGCAGTGAACCCCATCTGGATCGCCTTCTGTCTCTGTTCCCATCGTGTTTGTTACTTTTCTCCGACACATAAATCTGACTTCCTCTTGCCCCTGCTCCTGTTCAGGAGCCCTGGTGGGGCAGTGCGTTACGTGTGGGGTTGCGAGCACCGAAGTCAGCAGCTCGAAACCACCAGCCGCTCCTTGGGCTATTCCTGTAAAGTTACCCACAGGGGCACGCCTCCCCTGCCCTAACGGGTAGGCTGATATGAGTCGGAATTGACTCAAGGGCAGGCGAGTTTGGTCCGACTTGCTCCCATTTCTGATGGCTCACATTCATTTCCCTTCTGAACTACAACAGCCACCAACTAGGCCTCCTACTGGGACACATCTATTCATGCTCTGGAAATAAAAATAAAGCCCAACACTTTTACATTTTCTTTATCCCCAACTTACTCCCTGCCTGTGATAAGTACGTTTATTGTGCCAAACTGGCCAATAAGCACATGTGGGATTAATAAGATTGCAGTTTGATTGGAGGGCAAAGAGACAAATGGCTCAAGGAGCCCCACCTCTCTCTTGCTCTCTGGTGATCGGACAGGTGTGCGGCTGCCTTCGCTAGTTCTCTGCCTCAACTTGCGAGCTACACTATCTGTGAGACACCCAACCCGTGGACCCTGTTGCTAGAGCTTGAGGTTCCTTCGAGACCTGCTTCACCTCGCTGCTGGTGTGTACATTGCTGGAGCTGGGGATCCTGTCATCTGGCTGACTATTGGTGACCTGACCTCCTATTTTCTGCCTGTTGCCGGGCTGCCTGAATTGCTCTATGGTAGACTCAGTTGTCTATTTCCTTGACCTTGGACTAGCAGCCCTTGAGTTGAAGGACTTCCAGTATATTAATTGTTTCACGGAATTGAGTTGAACTGGGCCCTCTGTACTGCTGTGTGGACTAATTAGCTGTCATATTCCTTCGTGCTGTATCTATCTATCTGTCAATAAAATCGTAAGTGTCCCGGCTTTGTTTCTCTAGAGAACTCTGTCTAACACACTGCCCAACAAATCAAATGGCGCGTACACCGTGTCTCTTCATGGTAGGAAGGTACGACGACAGAAAGCTGCTTGGTCGGGGCGTCCAGTAAGCTGGGTAATGGTTCCTTCTGGCCTCTGGCATTCAAGAAGAACTTCTCCTCTTCGTGTTGATGAAGGCGTGGCATTTTCGTCGCAGTTATAAATGCAACAAAGGAAATCTATCAGCGGACATATGAAAATGAAGTTAAGTAATGCTGACCCCTTAAAAAAAAGTCTTGTCCATATACATCATTTACATAATTTTGGGAACTGAACGCTAACTTTCTGGAGTCCCTGGGTGGTTACAGCGCTCAGCTGCCAATTGTTAAGACCAGAGGTTTGGCTGCAGCCAAAGGCGCCTTGGAAGAAAGGGCTGGCACTCTTTCACTGCAAACTCTGCAGTGCAGTTCGTCTCACACATTTGGGGGTGGGGGTGGGGGGAGGAAGTCGGACCGCCTCAAGAACTGGCTGCAGACGTGCACTTTGTGCTCCAGACCCTTAAAAATGGTGTGCACACGACTCTCAAACTAGCATGCACTCAGTACCCCACAGCAGTCCTTCTTACCCCATCAGTTCCTGTGACACTAGTGAGTACGGGGCTTCTCGGTCTCTTCCCATCGGCCATTCCCCAAGCCCCAGGCCTGTCCTTGACCTCACAGAGAACAGCCAATGCAGGATGCCCAGGGGTCCCTCAGCCCTCACCCTCAGTGTGTGCCTAAGTGTACACACACACACACACCCTGGCAGAGCTGTGTAAACTGCTAAAATAAATGTCAAGCGCTCAACTTCTCTCTACTTACTAGACAGACAGCAACCTCAAACTCAGTAAGCGAGAGTTCACAAGGCATTTTTCCACTACTTAGGGGTCAACAAATGTTTCAAATGCGTTTGAGTAATAGCGAAGAAAACCTGAGTCTGGTTGTTATCATGTTGCCTCTTTGGGAGGCAGGGTAAAGTCGGTTAATTCCGAGACAACCCAGGCACCTGTTAACCTGCAGGGCCTAGGACTCATCTCTGTTTACTCGAGACCCCTGTGGGTCTTCTTGATCCGGACTTATTCTAACCTCTATGGGTGGCTAGTCTCCATGCGTCGTCATCACTTTTTATTTGCTTAATCACATCGGCAGAGAAGGGAATCCAGGGACCCAAAGACTGCCCGGGTGGTGTCAGCACTACAGACAGGGGTGGAACTCCTGCAAACCGACAGGGCAGATAAACGAGACGGGTCGTGGGGAGTGCGGGTGGCGGGGACGACACGCCGGGTGGGTGCGTCCGATGTGATCCAAGGCACAGCCTCTGCATCACAGACACAGAGAGTTTCCAAAGAAGAAAGAACGCAAGCCTCCGAAGGAGGGGTGAAAGAATTCTGGAATCAGGGTTGGGAGGAAGCGCGGGCAGTGCCGTCGGCGGAGGGGCTGCTCGCAGAGCCACAAGTCTCAAGCCGAGGGGCGAGCCCAGGCTCGCGTCGGCTCCCACCCCCTGTGCTCACCAGTATCAGGGCCGCGGCCGCCAGCGCCACGCAGAGCCCCACCAGCTGCAGCAGGAGCGGCGCCATCCTCCATGCCGGGCCGCCCTATCCCGCCCCTACACACACGCGGAAGCGCGGCGCGGGCCCGCCTCCCGCCGCCAGAGAGGCCGCGCCGCCCGCGCCTAGAGAGGCCGCGCCGCCGCGCCTGTCCGACTGCCGCCCACAGCGCCCCCGCGCGGCGCCGCCACGAAGGCGCAGCCTCTGCGAGAGGCGCTCCCTCCCAGGTGGCTGGATTACCCTGGATGCCCGGTTTACACTTGCCTTTTCGATAAAAACACCCAAAACTCCAACTCACTGCCATCGATTGATGCCGCCTCATAGCGATCCTCTAGGATAGTGTAGAACGGCCCCTGTGGATTTCCAAGATTGTGTGAACTCTGTATGGGAGTGGAGAAAGTTTTTCTCCTGCAGGTAGTAGAAAGTCTCCTTTTTTTTTCTCCTGTTGGGTGGTTTCGAACAGCTGAGCTTGAGGTTAGGCTGCCCAAGAAAAATTTACTGCCACCGATCAGTGCTGACTCATAGCGACCCTATGGGACAAGGCAGGACTGACCCTTTGTTTCCGAGGCTGTAACTTAAAATTTTTTTTAATTTATTATTATTTTGAGGCTGTAACTCTTAATGGGAGTAGTAAGTCATCTTTCTCTTGACAGTGGGCCGGTGATTCCTAACTGCTGACCTCGCGGATCACACTAAACGTGGTACCACTATGACACCAGGGCTCCTTAATAGCAGCCCAACAGGATGGCTTATTCCATCAGTATTTTCTGCATGTTTTTGTTACGTTCATTTTCGCAGTGAACCGTTGCGCAACGAATCCCTGTCTGGTCCTGTACCCTCTTCACAATGGGTATGTTGGAGCCCATTGCTGCAGCCACTGTGCCAATCCATCTCCTTGACGGTCTTTTTCATTTTCACTGCCCCTCCATTATAAAAGAAGAACAAAAACCCAAATACCAAAAAACTAAACTCCGGCTATGGAGTAGATTACGACTCATAGAGACCCTGGAGGGCAGGGTACAACTGCCCCCGTGAGATTCCAAGACTGTAACCCTGCACACAGTACGGGAGTTCCGTCTTCCTCCCGCAGAGCTGGTGGTTTCAAACTACTGACATCTAGGTTAGCAGCCCAATATGTAACCACCATGCCACCAGGGCTCCATGCTTTAATGTACAATATTATCCTGCATGTAACTGATGTTCGCATGGAACTGAGTGTCCATTGAGGAGGACCAGAGCTGCTGGAATGGTGCTCACTTCGCTATACACTCGGCTACTAACTTCTTGGTTTCCCTCTGTACTAGCAGCATTTTCTAAAGATGCTAAATCTCCCTATTAGGGATTCGTCAGATTACATCAAAGGCAAGACAGACCTCAGGGACGTCTGGCCGGGCGGGCTCGAGACCCCTTGGCCGCGGCACCCAGCCTCGCGGCGCCCGCGGCGCCTTCCCAGGCAGCTCCGCGCGCGGGCGGCGCACTCGGGAACGGGGACGGCTGGGCGAGAGCGCATGCGCGCGGGGGCGGCTGGGAAGATGGCGGCCGGGTTCAAGTGAGTGTTGGCGGGACGCCGCAGGCTGGAGTTTTGCATCCTGGGGGACGTTCCTGACAGGCTTGGGTGTTGGTTCCCTTTAACGTCTGTGCCACGATTCGCCCGCCAGGGTTCCACAGACGACCTGGGTGGCGGCGGCAGAGGAGCGGGGCCTTTTCCCTCGTGGGACCGGCGGAGGAAGGGACTTGGTGCGCTAAGTTGTGCACGTTGTGCTAGCGGCGCCCGGGAGACGCCGGCGGGAAGCGTACCCGATCTCCCCGCTGGTGAGCCTCCAAAGCAGGGTGCCTCGTTCGCAAGGTTTTAGTTAAGCCTTTCGGTGCTGCTGGGGTGAAGCCTGTGGGTGCCAGAGAGCAAGGCTGAAAAGTGGGTGAAGTAGGGCGCCAGAACTCACCGCGGCGGAGTCGATGGCGTAGAACTGTCGTGGGGGTTTCGGGGACTAGGAAGCCGCATCTTCCTCCCGCAGAGCAGCCGACAAACCTTGGAGCGAGCGAGGCACACTCCTTTTGGGGATCTTGAGGGCAGCAGCACAGCGGGTTAACCACTTAACGCCACCGAAGCTCATCACTAACAGGTGGCGACTTAAACCTCAAAGTTCTCAAAGAAACCTAGTTAGAAATTTTGGAGATTGCTGGGTCACTATATCTCGGCCAGCGTGAAGACTTATGTTAACATCGTGGCCTGCCATCATGTTTTTATCTTGTTTCAGAACCGTGGAGCCGCTGGAGTACTACAGGAGGTTTCTGGTGAGTAGTGGCATGTGAACATTGCCGAGTGCTTTCCTTGATTTTGTGTGACATACACATATTTATGTTTTCACACAATTCAACATTTCATCATTTAGAAGGAGAACTGCCGTCCTGATGGAAGAGAACTTGGTGAATTTAGGACCACCACTGTCAACATAGGTGAGGATATTCTGAGTTCTAAAATAGGAAGTTGAGTTCGTTTTATCAGTTTTTTTAAATCGTAGTTTTCTTAGTTTTTGTATACTAGTTGAGAAATTTTGTCATTTGAAAGTTTTTATTTATAAGCTTTATTTTAAGCTACTGCTACCCTTTACATTGGCAAACCCTTCATTTAAATTTCCTTCAAAACATGTTTAATACTTATTAATTTCATTTGTGGCAAATACAGAATTTGTTTCAGCTGTATGATACTCCCAAATTCTAGCCTGTAAACTACTTAAAGGTATTTCAGCCACATCCTACCGCATAGATTTACAGCCTTATAGATTTATAGCCTAGGGATAGTTTCATAAGCAACTGAAGACTACAGATGTATAGAAACCTGAAAATGTACCCAGCAAACTAAAAATATATAGGTTTAAGAAGTATGTAATCATATAGCTATGTTTTTTTTTCTTTTTAATTGGGCTTTTTTCATTTTTCTTCAATACATGTCTTTACAGGTTCAATTACTACTGCAGATGGTTCGGCTTTGGTGAAGCTAGGAAATACTACAGTCATTTGTGGAATTAAAGCAGTAAGTTTACTATGTATCACCTTGGTGTGCAGCATCAAAGTGACTCCATATATTTATTACATTGTAGCACACATTTATAATTTTACAGAATGAGGTACCTAAGTTTCCAATGCGTAGTATTTATTTTTGTTTTCCAAAGGGCTTCTGCCTGAGTATTTGATAATAAGAGTACTAGATTGAATGCCTTTTAATGATAATTTATGAACATTTCTCAACTGTACTAAAATAAAAACCATTTTTAATCTCATTATTTTTAAAAATTGGCATAACGTTGCAAACTAAGAAATGCCTAGCAGCATTCTTTTAGCCAGTGATGACTAAATCAGTTTGAAATGTAAATGTGCAGACTGGTTAAGAGCAAATTGTGAAGAAGCTCAACCAAGTACAAATACCTGTTGTATTCTGCCTGCTTGCTAGGTGTTTTGTAGCATTATTCAGTTTAATCCTCAGAACAATCATTTGAGGTAGTATTTCACTCTTCTTTGTTTTACAGGTGAAGTTCAGTAACGTATCCATGCACCGACGTTCATAAACACAAATGTGGCTCCAAAGCCTGTGCTTTTTCACTTATACTCCACTTGGGGTAATTTAGTCTAAATTCAGACTTCCCTCCTCAGTTAAGCTGGGGTGATAATTAACAGCGAGATTTAATTATCTTTATTTAAATATTTAATTAAATAAAATATTTAAATATCCTCACACACAACCAGGCAAAAAGGGTCATTTGATCTGCCAAAGGCAGCGGTTCTCAACCTGTGGGTCTCGATCTCTCTGAGTGTCGAACGACCCTTTCACAGTGGTCACCCTATTCATAACAGTAGCAAAATTAGTAGCAACGAAAATAATTTTATGGTTGGGGGAGGGGGTCACCACAACATGAGGAACTGTATTGAAGGGTTGAACTGTACTAAAGGGTTACGGCATTAGGAAGGTGGGAGAATCACTGTCCACAGGGGTTGTGACCCACATGTTGAGAACCACTGGTCTACCTACTCTGTAGGATTTCTGAAGCTGTAAATCTATGGACGTCATCTGCTTCTGGTTCGTGGCCCAATTGCTTAACCTACAGCATCACTAAAGATCCTTGATGATGACACCAGCACTTTAAAGTCGTCTGTGCCAGTGTCTCTGGGATTAAATTCAGGTTGTTGGCTATGAAATCAGTAGAAGAGGACAGAAGAGACGGCCAGTTAATATTTTAGAACAGGTCTCCAGGGAATGGTCATGAAAAGCAGCACAGTCTGCTACATACTCTTGTTAACCTTGCGGAGCTACCGGGAGGATTCAGCTCCTGGCATGGCTCCCCAAAGCACAGTAGGCCTAGTGGTGGTGATGTCTGAGGTCGGCCTTTGTAACTGACTGCTGAACTGACCTCACGGTATTTAGTGGCTGCTTTCAGTCGGAAACATTTGTTTGCTTTCGTAGGAATTTGCAGCACCACCAACAGATGCCCCCGATAAAGGATATGTAGGTAAGTTCATTGATTTTGTAATTTTAATGCAAAATAACTTTAACACATTTAATACTGGTAGTTCAGTCCTAGAAATTAAGCATTTGAGTTGAAGAACATCATTCTTAAGATTCACAAATATGCTAGCAGAAACATAATAGCAAGAATCTGCACATTTAACCATTAACTTACTAGCTCTGGTACTGAGAAACAAAATTTCAACTGGAAGGTAGCAATATGGGATGTTTGTTTAACTTACTACTGGTTTTGTTATACAAGCATTGTTTTTCAGTTATACATCCATTTATGTGTATACCTGAAGGCATTTCAAGCTTTCCTGCTCCTACAAAGCATGTTTTATACAATTTTTTCCCCTACTCTTCAGAGGCTTGTTTTTTTATGGTATAAAGCATTCTAAGAAAGCCAAAAAGTTGGATGTAGATAAAGGAGCCATCCCCCATCTATGGGGTATTTTTAATGAGACAAACAAAACTTGGGAGGGCTTAGGGAGAATAGGCCTGCTGTGGATGCTTTGTTTTTTGTGTGTGCGAAATATTGCCATGCTGGAAGACCTGTCCGTGGGCACAGTTGCCTTTGTTACAGAGGGTGGATAATACAGGTTAACACTTACTCATTACATAGGGAATGTTTCTTTCAGTTCCTAATGTGGATCTGCCACCCCTGTGCTCACCGAGGTTTCGGTCTGGACCTCCTGGGGAAGACGCCCAAGTGGCCAGCCAGTTCATTGCAGATGTCATTGAAAAGTAAGATCCTTTTGATAAAAAGACTGACTCTCACTTATTGTTGTTCTAACTTTCATTTATTGTGCTCTGTAATTAAATCAAGTTCACAGATAATTCAGAAAGAGGACTTATGCATTTCTCAAGGAAAGGTGAGTAAAAAGAAATGGGCTTTTAAATTAATTCAGGAGTATTTTGGGGGGGGGGTGAGGCTGGGAGGAGTGAAGAGTCTTAAACCACTAAAGCTTGAAATATGGGTAATTATTATTTTTTAATGGCATTCAGTCAAAATGTCAGCTGTACTCTATTCAAATAAACTATGCAGCTCAGAAGGGGAAAAAACTTTTTTGGACGAGTTTATTTCCTCATTGAGGTGTTGTGTTTTAAGCTGAACTAGTTTTGTCCCTCGAGTTCTGATTATGCTAGTGTGCTCAATGAGAGTTCACACAGAAGTCCCAAAGTCACCCTGGAGATCTAGAACTAGATGAGAACCTAGAGAGGTCTCATTTGGTTTTATTAGCTCTGTACAGTTTAAAACATTCCATGTATTAAGGTTCCTCCTATGAAAGTGCATCCTAAATCAGCTGGGACATTAAAAACCTTTCTTCCCTTGTTTGCTAAACTAGCAACCAGAGTGGGAATTCCTCCTCCAGTTGAGGGAAATCGATGTCCCGATCCCTGGGTAGTCAGGAGCAACCTTTTATCAAAGCTGGTTTTCCATTTTTGGAGGGTAAAGCAATTTTCTACATGGTGTTAAATAAATCCTGGAAGTTTCTATTGTTTAATCAACTGTTGTGTGATTCATAGGTAAGTAAGTAGCCTGTTCTTTCAGGATGCTGATTTGTGTACTGTATTGTAGCTGGCTTGGGTTCTATACTGCGATCTCCTTTGTCTGGACTATGATGGGAACATTTTGGATGCCTGCACGTTTGCTTTGTTAGCTGCTTTAAAAAATGGTAAGCTTTATAAGCGGCAGTCTTTATACAAATGGATCAGATTTTGTGTGTGTGTGTGAGAGAGAGAGAGAAAGAGAAACTTAGTATTGCATTTGGCTCAATAAACTATAAGGACTTTGAGAAAATTTAGCTATCATTCTAGTGTTTCCAGATTAATCAACATGGTATTAATGCAGCTTTCCAAATTACTTAAACGAGTCTTTGAGTGACACCTGCATTTGTATGTAAATGAGTCCCCCTTTGAATTGCTCAATTGTTAGACCTACCTACTGGGTTCAGACTTCAGTCCTCTCTGGGAGGAAGAGAGCTGTAATGATGTCTGGGTGGTTGGGGAAGATTCTACAAGTAGTACCTGAGTTCTTTGCCTTATGTAATGTTACTTTAAAAGTTGGGTTTTGTTGTTTTAAGGCCATAGGTATCCTTTTTAATAGTAAATTTTCTTAATAGGGCAACTAATGTGACCGATGGATTATGCTAACAATGACTGATGCATGCTCCCCTGTTGCTGAGAGTTAGGAAATGTAGTATTGAGCATGGGTGGTCCAGACAATTTGAGTTTCTGCACTAACCTTGTTCAAACCCATTCAGCCACTCTGCACAAGAATTAATTGCTCCTCAAGCTTACCCAAGAAAAACCCGTAGAGCAGTTTTACCCTGTAACAGGTGGTCCCTGAGCTGGAATCGCCTCTGGCCAAGGGTTTGGTCTTAGTGCACTAATAGTGAGAAAGGCAAGGACTCATCTTGGAGTCCTGGCTCCACTGTCTCTTTTCTCATCGGTAAAATGGAGTAATAACTTACTTTATGAGAACGTTGTTGACTAAATTCATTAGCTTGGTAAAAATGTTTTTTAAAGATTATCTGGGATATAGAAAATAGTTCACTGTATTACCCACTAATAACTCATGCGTTCCTAAGTTTCTAAAAGAGAATAGGTTTTAAGGTAGGGACTTTAGATGTGTGTTTGGGGAAACTTCACATTTACTGTTTTCTGTATTCTAAGATTTTTTTTTTTTTTTTTTGGTTTTAGATGATTATTTCTGGGTGCCTTTCACTTGTTCCAATGGGAGACTGACCTATGTACGTTCTACATTTGTGTATCTGCCCTTTTCTAGTACAGCTGCCTGAAGTCACCATAAGTGAAGAAACTGCTTTAGCCAAAGTTAATTTAAAGAAGAGGAGCCATTTAAATATTAGACATTATCCAGTTGCAACTTCCTTTGCCATATTTGATGAGTAAGTTTGTTAATGAAATGTGTTTTTTAAAAGTTTGTTAGGTGATGATGGGCTGTTAGTGAGCTGATTTTTCATGAAGTACTTAAGGTGCCCCCTCTGTCCTGGTTTGCTGTGGATACTACAGTATATAGCTATTGTCCCTACTACCTATTACTAGACAACTTTTAAAAATACACAGATTTTGAGAATGTTTTATGCTCACATCTATTTCTTGGTTTGCTTATTCCTGTAGAATGTTAACTTTTTTCCCCATTGAAAATTTACCTGAGGCTATCTTCAGTGTTTGCCGTGGACGTCAATGTATCCACAAACTGAAGGGCCAATGGTCTTAACATAAAGAATCTCAGGTGGCTATCATCTTTTTTAGATTTCCTGGCAGTTTTCTTTTAGTTCTTGTATGTTTTCAGAACTTAAGCTTAAACTCAGGCATTTTAGTATTAACATTTTTTTCGTCCATAGAATGATTAATTTCTTTTCCTTTCTAAATAGCACTTTACTCATAGTCGACCCAACTGGAGAAGAGGAACACCTGGCCACTGGAACCCTAACGATCGTGATGGATGAGGAGGGCAAACTGTGCAGTCTGCACAAACCAGGCACGTTCCGTTCTTTCCATGGCAGCCCTAAGTGTACTGGTTAAAATTGAGCGTCTTTTCTTAGGGAGGACCAAATGGAACATGGGATGTGCCATCGTTCACACCTCGTTTCCTTGCTCCCTCACATCCCTGATACTTTTTAAAAACAAGACCTTGCATTTTCAACAAGCCTGCAGTAACTTTGATACTGTTAGCCTTAAGACAATACCAGTGCTATATATTGTTCATTTTGTAGAATAACTTGCGCAACAATGATCTTTTAACAAAGGTAGATAACTAAGAGGCTAAGTGTTGGTTTGATTAATTACTTTTGCAGGTGGGAGTGGACTGACTGGCACTAAACTGCAGGACTGTCTGAGCCGAGCAGTTACAAGACACAAAGAAGTGAAAAAACTGATGGATGAAGTAATTCAGAGTATAAAACCCAAGTAAACCACATCTTCCACACGACTTGTAAAAACGGAATCTGTTAGCACTGTGCACCAGCCTTTGCATTAAATATCACTCTTGATGTTCCTCGTCTTCCGTAGTCACTGTCACATAAGATCATTTTTTGGAAAGGCAATGACTTAGGCAAAACCACCCTTGGTTCATTAAACCATTTCCCTGTTTATTTAAAAATCATAGGGTTGTGCTTCTATATAAAGTTTGTACATCTAGCAATGTAAAATACCGACATGTTAAAAAAAAACAAACCCCCAAATCAAAATGACATAAAAACTCAAAATACTTTTGATTCAATGCTCTTTTCAAAGAGGAGAAAAAAATAAATAATGCGAGACTCAGAATTTTGGAGTGGTTGGAGTGCCTCTCTTCATTTTACTTTCTGACGGGCTGCCGGTATGCCGATGTTGATGGAGCTGAGCCGTCTGTGCCGCCGCCATAGCCATTTGATGCTGCAAGAATCGCAACTGCTGCCAAGAGGGGAGAGAAGCTGCATTACATGTGGCCACATATGAGAAGGTGCTTTTCCTGAGTGCCGAAACCCAAAAGGGGGGGAGCACCCCACGGTGGTAAAGGGGTTGATTATACCACATGGAGACACAGTCAAACAGCACTAGTGGCACAGAAGCCTGCTAAGGGCTTGGTGTTCCTTGGCCCTGCCCCAGTTCTCTATGGCAGTAACTCAGCAACTTCAGTGACCATTTTGTGGTGTGATTTATGGCATCATAAAACCACCCAGGATAACTATAAGATAGTCATTGATAATGTGCTAGTTTCATTTCCAAAAGTAAGTGATTATAAATTCTAAGGAAGTGTGACACTTATGAATAGGAACACTGGCATACTTGCCATTTTCTGCAGTCCAATTATTAAAAGGTTAACAATGGTACTTAAAAGCAGTTTTTACTTCAAAATATACTGGAAACGATAAAAACAGATTTGGTAATGTGCCACCAGAACTTCCAGGAGAAAAAGTGTGGCGTAAGTTGTAAGATACTCCGTGCTCCAAGCTGGCCAGCTAAAATGTCAGACTTTTAAATGAAATATGCAAAATTATCAGTTTACAGCTTAGTCTTAAAAAGCAGTAAAACAAAAATAAAGCGAGGTACGAGGGGACCTTAAAAGTTTGTGGGAAAGTTCCATGATCTCTTAATTCCATTCCCCCCCACAAACTTTTTTTTTGAAACCCCTCAGTAGAGTCAAGTCTGCTATCTTTAAAACAGTGCACGAGAGTGAAGTTGCTGGATTACTTGTATCTGCTGCTGCTGCTGGTGAAAGGCAGAGGAGAGCTGGAATCTCTGCTGAGGGAGGCTTTGCTCAGGTCTGTCCTCGGCAGAGCCAAGCTGAGACAACACTACAGAGAGGAGAAGGGGAAAGCAGGCCAGTCAGAAAGTCTGAAGGCTGTCAGGGTTAGAAAAGGACAACACAGAAAATGAAATAGAAAAGTTATCAGTATGATAAGTATTAAATCAGACATTTCAGGGTTAATTTAGTACAGTCTCCTGTTAGTTGAAGATTATCAATGATTACAGAACTTCTTGGATGGGGAAAGGGCAGAGAGCTCACATGTACCAAAGCATGGTATCCCTCTATCTTTTTGTGTAAGTAGAAGGTGATATTAGTGCTGCCTTGTTTTCACAATGTAAGATACATTTAAAATCTAAGCCAGTGAATCGAACAACAAAAAGACACTGGTGATAACCCAAACTACCACAAGGACAAAACAGGTAAACATGAGTGCTAATGGATATGAGACTGAGTGTGCACTTTCCAGCTGAGTGGACCATATTTTGTAGATCAGAAAAGGCAGAAAAGTAATTGCATGTCTAGACCTAGAAATACTCTCACTTTTCAGCTTTAAAGTTCTGTATGCTAAATTATAGGGTAAATAAAGAGTATTTAACTGTAAAAATCATAGAAATCATTAAAAATATCTATGGGAAGCTACTATTTCACAAGTCTCCATCTAGCTCCATATACTTCTGAAGGCTGTATTTGTCTCTAACTTTACCACCTATTTGTATACCATGTCACAATGGTAACTTTGGCACCCTTTCTGGATGAAACTTGTGAATTGGGTGAAAATTTGACACGACAGATCAGTTTCCGGTTAGAAAATTCACAAATATTCATAAAAAGCATGTCACTAATCCCATGTCCCATCTATGTGTTCCTAGTTTCCATTGTGCGTCCTTTAGAATTTTGTCCTGGGTTAAATGTTGTCGTCCTCCTCTTCTCAGTTGGTTGATTCTTCTAGGTGTGCTGGACTTCCCCTTATGGGCCTATGTTACTGTCTGGCTGGAAACTGAGCCATGGAGGTGAGTGCATTTCTAGACCTCAAGGGTGGACTTTGCCCTTGAGTCAATGCTGTAGTGCACATGTACGTAAGAGACCTATGGTGCTGTCGGGTTAGTGTTGAATTTTTAACCACAAGGTAAGAGAATCAAACCCACTGCTGCTCTGTGGGACAAATATGAAGCGGCCTCAATCTGTAGAGCTTTATTGTCTTGGAAACTCTACAGAGGGTTGCTATGAGTCATACTCTACTTGATGGCAGTGCACTTTCAGTTATTGTTTGGCTGAAATTGAGCCACTGTTAAGTTCCATTCCAGGCCCAAAGTGACGAAGGACCTTATGTCCTGGGGGTTCCATCAGGCTACTTAGCTAGCAGGTCTGGTCTCCATGATTTCTCCCTGTCTACTCAAGGCCTTCTGATGCGATCCCTTTTAGAGCTAGTCTTTCTTGTCTCAGAGTCCTGGACACCGAGGGGCGCTGGATGTGTCTGTGTCTTCCATTTTCATGATTCTGCTTTCCTCCAGAGAGACCAATACTCACTCACACACTCCATTTGTGACATATAAATGGACTGTTAGGCTAGCTTGACTTTGGTGGCCTCTAAGCTCCTGTGCCTCTTGGACTCATTCTCTTAATGTACCTGGTTATGTGGAGCAAGTCTCATTAACTTGTGCTACCACATCCATAATATAGATACTGTAAAACCAAAGCCAAACTCACTGTCATCAAGTTGGTTCTCATTCATGGTGACCCTATAGGTTAGAGCAGTGGTTCTCAACCCCTGGGTCACGACCCCTTTGGGGGTTGAATGACACTTTCACAGGGGTCGTCTGATTCATAACAGCAGCAAAATTACAGTTATAAAGTAGCATCGAAAATAATTTTATGGTTGGGGGTCACCACCACATGAACTGTATTGAGGAGTTGCGGCATTAGGAAGGTTGAGAACCACTGGGAGTATAACTGCCCCTGTGGGTTTCTGAGATTCTAACTTTACAGGAATAGAAAGCTGAGTCTTTCTCCCTCAGAGTGGCTGGTAGTTTTGAATGGTTGACTTTGGGGGTAGTAGCCCAATTCATAATGACTATGCAACCAGGGCTCCTAATTGCAGTAAAGACATTCAAATATTCCATCAAATACACATGCATGTGGATGCAGCTGTATACCCTTTGCCTCTCTGACTTGCTACTCATGGTTGACTGTTATCGCAGGACTATGTATATAACAGTATCTCCCTGTGCTGTTTTACTCTTGAACTCCCCCATACCTCTCTCCTTTGCCAGCCCTCTCATTGCCACCATGTTCCCTTCACCTACTTGGTTGAATCCACTAGACTTCTGCTCCATGCAAACGTTCTACAATTACACTACCTCCCCCTGCCTTCATTACACATTTGTGTCTCTGGTTCCCTATTTCCAGTCTGGTCTGTTTCACTTTTGAATACTTCTCTACTTTGGCACCTGGTGGCACTGTCATGGACATGAATTTCTAATGGCTAATGTTCATGAGCATGTGTGTGTTGGCTGAATTATCTTCTTGGGGAATGTACTTATGCTTTCTGCCCATTTTTAAATCGATAAGTCTTTTTATTATTGAGCTTTTCTATACATTTTAGAGATTAGAGCCATGTCTGATATTCCATTAAGTTTTACATCCTGGAAGGACTCAAATCTATCCCTTTTCAATGCTTTGAGTTTGGGGTACAGAAGAAGTAAGTCTACAGGGGCAAGTTCAGGTCTGTAGGGTGGATCAAGTAAGCTTTCCTAAGGAAATTCTTATATGACAGCTCTTGCTACTCTCAAATGAGAGCTGCATTGTCATGATGGAAAACAACTCCTTAGCACATAAGCTCCCATAATCCTATATCCTTCAAAAATATTTATCAAGATTATCCTTTTAAAATCTCTTCTCCAAAAAAAAAAAATTAAATAAATAAATCTATCTATCTATCTATCTACATCTCACCAAAACCTCCTGAGCTGACCTCTGCCTTGAATTTAACTGGCCCAAGAGCATCTTCTTGGAAACTACCATTTTGATTGAACCTTTTTGGGGTGGATACATCCTAATAGGATTAAGACAAGTGTATTACTGGGAAAACGTGTCTATAGCCATCCATTGACTGCAGAGAGAGATTGAAACATCTTTTGTTGAGAATAAATCCAGAAGATATGAACTGAAACTCTGGTAGCAATATTTTTTTTATTTACCCTGGTACTATAGCCATTTTGGTTAATTTATAACTCAGGTGGTAGAGGTGTAAAATTGCAGATTTCCACTTGAAACTTCAGAACCTGTACATCATCAGAATTATTTACAAAATAAAGATGGATAATTTTGCTAATTAAAGGACTTCTGAATTCAGGGACTGAATTGTAGAAATTTAAAGATACCTTATTAATTCCACAGTGATAAAACATTGACATGTTCACTCATTCAATCCTCAAACTCCACTACAGCTATCTTACATGTGTGGGTTTCCTGATAGTAAGCAGATGTAGAAATAAGTCTTTAATTGTCAGGCAAACTTTTGTTTCACTCTTACCTACCAGAAGCAGTGAAAGTCATTTAGTTATTCCAATGACGAGTGGCTGTCAGAAGTTAGAGTGTTAACCAGTATGATTTATTTCAAACTACAAGCTATCACAGTAAAGAGTATATGATCTAAAACAATGCAGTCTCAATAAACCTATAAAACTGGGTTATTAAAGCAGCTGCACATTCTGAGGGGACATGGGAGAAGGGGAGGTGGGGGGAAAGGAAGTGATGTTAACAAACCCAGGGACAAGGGAACAACAAGTGATCCAAATCAGTGGTGAGGAGGGTGTAGGAGGCCTGGTAGGGCATGATCAAGGGTAATGTAACCGAGAGGAATTACTGAAACCCAAATGAAGGTTGAACATGATAGTGGGACAACAGGAAAGTAAAAAGAAATAGAGGAAGGAGCTAGGAGGCAAAGGTTATTTATAGAGGTCTAAATAAAGGCATGTACATATGTAAATATATATATGATGATGTGGAAATAGAGCTATGTGCATAAATGTATAGGTTTAGTATTAAGGTAGCAGATGGACATTGGGCCTCCACTCAAGTACTTCCTCAATGCAAGAATACTTTGTTCTATTAAACTGGCATTCCGTGATGCTCACCTTCCTGACGCAATCGCTGAAGACAAAGCGGGTGCATAAGCAAATGTGAAAAAAAGTGATGGTGTCTGGCTATCAAAAGATATAGCATCTGGGGTCTTAAAGGCTTGAAGGTAAACAAGCGGCCACCAACTCAGAAGCAACAAAGTCCACATGGAAGAAGCATACCAGCCTGTTCGTGATCATGAGGTGTCGAAGGGATCAGGTATCATCAGAACAAAAAATCATATTTTGAATAAGGGGGAGTGTGGAGTGGAGGCCCAAAGTCCACCTGTAGGCAATTGGACAGCCCCTTACGGAAGGGTCACGGGGAGGAGACTAGCCAGTCAGGGTGTAGTGTACCAATGATGAAACATACAACTTTCCTCCAGTTCCTAAATACTTCCTCCTCCCCCCGCACTATCATGATCCCAATTCTACCTTGCAAATCTGGCTAGACCAGAGGATGTACACTGGTACAGATAGGAACTGGAACACAGGGAATCCAGGGTGGATGATCCTTTCAGGACCAGTGGTAATACTGGGAGGATAGAGGGAGGGTGGAAAAATAATATATAAATTATCAAGGGTTCATGAGGGAGGGGGGAGTGGGAAGGGAGGGGAAAAAATGAAGAGCCAATGTCAGGGGCTTAAGAGGAGAGTAAATGTTTTGAGAATGATGAGGGTAATGAATGTACAAACATGCTTTTCACAACTGATGTATATATGAATTGTGATAAGAGTTGTATGAACCCCTAATAAAATGATAAATAATAAAACAAAAAAACCCAAACCAAAACAAACAAAAAACCCTCCTCTATGGAGGAGACAATGAAGTGTAAACAAACAAATAACAAAACCCCCCAACAACAGCTGCACAGGCAAAAGAAACAGATTTGGGTGGACTCCTAGAAAGCTGGATAATTTTGTAATATTTTGCCAATAAACTGTAACATGAGGAAAGACTCAAAGTATTGTTAATAAATCTAAGCCAAAAATTTAATTAATCTTTTTTTCTAGTTACTATTTACAAGGGAAGGTAAAGAAATAATTACAATGACGAGATCATACATTAATACTTTTAGTAAATTCAGCATATGATGCGATGAAGATACCTACCAGCTGCCTGGGACTGCATAAAACTCCCTACTCCAGTCAGGTTGATAACAGCTGCCTGTTGAGCAGATAAGGCCTGTTCTTGACTGGCTGAACCTGGTTCAGAACCCTGAACAGAAAAACAATAAATAAAAGACTTACACAAGTAGAAATAACAATTTTGAGTCAGTGAAAGAAATCTGGATTTTTTCCCCCCCTTATGAGAAATTGGAATATCAAGATAATGGATCAGCCCCCACTCTTGATTTTTGCTTTTGTTGCAGGTCTAACTTAGGTGACCCCATGCACTACAGAGCAGCACTGCTGCCATAGGCTTGTTGTTTTTTACTGTAGTTGTTCGTTCAGGAAGCAGGTGGCCAGGCTTGTTTTTCCCTTGGCTCTGCTGTGTGAGTTCAAAGTACCAACCTTTGGGACTTATAACACGGATAACAGAAGACATCTGAAGTACCCCAAAGACTCAAGAATAGATTTATGGCATTCTTAAAGCAAGAAAATAGAACTTAGCTTTTCAGAATTTATTCTACATTCGGTTACTAGTTGGTGATCAATGGATAATTCCTAAGACTTGTCTAGGTTTTCTTTAAAGTAAACTTCTGGAATCTCAAAGCAGCCTTTGCTACATGGCACTGGCACTCCTGGCAGCACACAGGGTGAGAAAGACAAGGCAGATGGCTTGTGAAGGAGAACAGACAACTGGCTTTACTATACATAACATGAGTGCGTGTGTGTGTGTGTGAAGAAGCTAGTATAAATGCAGGACCTAAGATCAATGTGCACAACTTAGTTCTTAACAAACACTAGCAATGAATATGTAGAAACCAAGATTTTAAACAATGCTATTTACAATTTCTAAACAAAAAAAGTAAAACAGATAAAAATAACAGAACACATACAAGTTGTATGTTAAAACTAAGAAAGGTCTGACATTCATGGAACTGGAAGACTCAATACTGTCAAGAAGTGAATTACTCCCAAGTTGAACTTAATTCTGTTAAAAGTACATGAAAATGAATACAGAAATATAATGGGACTACAGTAGATAAAAAATTTGAAGAAAGTGGGAAGAACCACTATCTGATTTTAAGATTTGTTAATATAATGAAAACAGTATGGTATTTGTAGTGGGATAGACACTTAAGATCAATGGAACAAAATAGAGATCACAGAAGTAAACTTACACACCAATAGCCAAATTATTTTTCATAAAGATACTAGTTTACTAATTCAGTAGTGGAAGGACAAGTTTTCAACAAATGGTGCTGGAAGAACTGACCATTCAGAGCCAAAAAAAAAAAAAAATCTTCCTGCCCCTGTGGGTTTCCAAGATTGTTAACTTCATGGGAGAAGTTGGTGGTTTCAAACTACTGACCTTGCTGTAGTAGCCCATCAGGGCTCTTTATAATAAAGGTTTCATAAAACAAAAAATGCAAAGCAAAAAACAAAAAAGGCAAAGCAACAAAAGAACAGTTTACAAATATTCTCCCCACCCAAAATACATATAGCAAAAGAAAGTGGGAAGACATCACCACAAATGCAAATACATATTCCTCATATAAGGGTTATGTCGAGACACTTTGAATCACAAATAGGAATATTCAAAAATATAAGAACAAAATCATGGAAGGCCTACTATACTAGTATTAACATAAAAGAAGACAATGGGAGTATCATTAATATGATAAACAGGATCAATTAGTCAAGGGAACATAGCAATCCTAAATTTGTACTGAACAACTGTTCATTGTTAGGTGCTGTAGTGTGAGTTCCCATGCACAGTGAAATACCACTCGGTGCTACTACATTCTTTCAGCCTATTGTTGCAGCCACTGTCAACGCATCTCCTCAATTGCTTTCTTCTTCTTTTTTTTAATTTTTGGCTGACCTTCTACTTTATTAATAGAGTTTTAAAATATATGTTGAAAAAACTACCAGGAGAGGAGAAATAGAAATTGCCATAATTTTTGGTTCTAGAGTCCAACTTCTTCAATAACTCGTAATGTCAAAAAGCAATCATTAAGGATGCAGATTTGAATAATGCGATCCAATAATTTGCTCTTTGTTAGAACACTCTTAGCTGCAGCAGAATACATTCTTCCCAAGTTCATATGGAACACTCACCAAGATCTTCTGGACCATAAGATAAACCTCAACAAACTTTTAAGCAATGAAAGCATATTTTAAAGCCACAATGGAATTAAACTAGGAATTAATTATTGAAATATATTTGGGAGTATCTCAGACTATCTGAAAATTAAGCTTCCTCAGTATCTGAAAATTAAACTTCTATAAAAAAATCGCAGGCATCTAAATAAATTTACAAGGGATATTAAAAAGTCCCTTGAATTGAATGAAAATGAAAGACCCTATGAATGCTTTATGCTGCACTGAGGTTGAGGGAAATTTCTAATATTAAAGGTTTAGTTTAGAAAAAGTTTCACCTCAATAATCGAATCTTCTAGTTTAAGAAACTAGAAAGACATTAAAACTGTAATACAAAAACCAAAACCAAAGTAACTTTCCAGAAATAACCTACTGCTGTGGAGTCAATTCCAACGCAGAGCAGCCCTGTAGGGCAGCGCAGAGCTGCCCGAGAGTTTCTGAGAACGCAGAGCTTTACGGAAGCAGTTTCACGTTTCTCTCACAAAGCAGTGGTTGGTTTGAACTGCTGACCCTTCGGTCAGCAGTTCTACCATTATGTGCCATCAGGGCCTAAAATCTATAAATTTCAGGAGCCCAAAGGCAAAATCAATTCTGAGAGTTACCTTAAGGAAAATTTTATAAAGGATAAGGGCAAACCTTGAGAGTCTCCAGGCAAAATGATTAAATTGCAAGAAAATTCAATTAGCTTTAGACTTCTCAAACACAGTCACAACGCTGGACAACAACGTGCAGTTCCAATTAATTTAAAGAAAAAAGTGCAAACCAAGGAATTTATATGCAACCAAGCAATCCTTCATGAACTCATGGTAAAAGCAGTTTTGATCATGGCACTATCTTCCTGAGCAATCTTCTAAGGGCAAGCATTACCCAACCAAGAACTGCCTGGGGAAGCCTGGATTAAAGGGACTGGCAGTGAACATTTTATACGTTTCGTGTGAGCTGAGAGAAATTCTGGAGTTCAACTCAAGGCAACATTATTTTAGGGTTTCCTAAGTGATTTTCAAAGTTCAGCCAAGGTCAGAAATCCTTACTTTAATAGTTCGACCCTTAGCAAGAAAGGCCAAACAATCCAATTAGTTAGTATAGGATGAGAGCAGACAGTTCACCCAAGACCTCCGTAACAAAGATGAAGAAATGCACATGATTAGGCACTTGAGTGATGCAAATAAAAATGAGATACCACTTTACCAAAGCATTAATAACACCCCCCGCCCCCCAAAAAGAAGTAAAGCAGAAAACACCAAAATGCAGCAAGGATGCAGAGAATGTAACCCTCCTACACTGTAATGTGGTATCATCACTATGTAAAGTGGTAGGGTGCTTCTTCAAATACTTGGGAATAGAAATATCAAATGATCTAGCAATCCCACTACTTGGTACAAAGCCTAAATGCTCCCTGGTGGAAAAACAGACTACTACACTTTGGTCAGGTAGATTAAGACCAACAGTGAAGCTGTGAAACACTTCATAACATGGATGATCTCGGAGCACCATCACACTTGGTGAAATTAACCAATCAATTACAAGAGGATAAATATTATAAAAACCACTATTATAAAGTGTCAAGCAAAGGTTTTCACACTAAGGGTAGATGTGTTAACTTGGGTGAAGGGGAAGATAATCACCAACAAGAGGAAGCAGACAAAAAATGGTGGAGCCAGGATAAGACATTGAGAGAGTGGCAATAATAAAAGGCAACAGAGGCAAATATGTTGTATACCCAATCCTGCAAGTGCTGAGCTACAAGCTACTTAGACAGACATGCAAACTGATCAGATGTAGAAAGGAGAGTGGGAATAGACCCACAAATATATAGATTTGACAGAGGACATTTGTATATTTGTTTCATATATGCCCATGTATGTGGCAGGGTAGGGCATGCAGGAGGCAAAGATATGAATACTTATTAGACATAACCTAACAACTTTGAGGGAATGAGCCAGTGTGCTTGGAAGCTCAGGACCACAGTTTAAAGGGACACCTAAGTCTAGTGGCCCTGCAGTTTGCAAAGACAATACTTGAGTGAGTAGTGTAAGTGCGGGTCTTAAAAATCTTGTGAGTGTGACACATGGCATCCAGGTCAGATAAATCCCTTAGGAACAGAAATGGGAGTAGCAATACCAGGAGGGTAGGGGGGAGGAGGGAGAACTAATCACAATGATCGACACATAACCTTCCACCCCAGGGGGATAAACAACAGAAACCACAAGGGAAGGGAGACAGTGGTTGGTGTAAGATATGAAATTAATAATAATTTATAATTTATCAAGGTGTCATGAGGGTGGGAAAAAAGAGCTGATATAGAAAGGGCTCAAACAGTAAGGAAAGGGCTTATCAACGGCTCAAATACAAAGTAAATGCTTAGAAAATAATGATGGCAACATATGTACAAATATGCTTGATACAAGTGATGTATGGATTGTTAGAAGAGCTGTAAGAGCCCCCAATAAAATGATCTCAAAAAAAAAAAAATCTTGTGAGTAGCCATATAAAGACAATCACTGGTCTCTCCCAGTCCAGAGGAAAGAAGAGTAATGAAAATGTAAAGCTATATGGGAACAATTATCCAACTGACTAAAAGATCCCAGAAACAGCAGTGTCTATAATCCTGAGATCAGAACTACCACCAACTGCTCTGAAAAGGATCAAATTACAAACCCCTGATTGAGACAAAAATGTGGAATGAAACCTCCAAAACTACATAACCCTCAGACATCCTTCAGGTCATAAACAACACACCCTGTGATAAAATAATCCACCCTCAAGATCAGCAGTTCAGTATCTACCCAAGCTCAGAGTTAAGAAAGGAGGAAGAAGAGAAACAGGGAGACAGTGGATCAGGGGTGGTACACTGAGGGGCTGGCAGTGGATGAGTTGAAACAAAGTGTGTACAAGCTGTTGGATGTGAAACTGGTGATCTGCTCTGTAAACCTTCACTCAATTCATAAGAAAAAGGTTTTTTTTTTTTTAAAAAGGCTAACATTAAATATATGAAATCATTTGAATAAGCTTGAAAAGTTAATAAAAATATTGCAAAATCTGGGACAGAACAACAAAAGGTGGAAAGCGTCTACCTGTTCCCCAGGTTGGTGAGGACTAGAAGGTGTGGGCTGCTGAGGTGGTGGTTGTGGTGTAAACTGAGAGAGCTGTTGCTGCTGCTGCTGTTGCTGCAGAGTGTTAAAGATGAGTGAGCCACCAGGAAGCTAGTAAGGGGTTTAAAGAAAAAATAATTAGACTGAACATATTCTTTCATATGAAATGAAATTTTTCTTGATTCCACAAATCTGTTTGGAATATATTCTGTGTAGGAGACCCTGGTGGTGCTAACCTTAGCATGCTTAGCTTTTAGCCAGAAGGTTGGTGCTGGGAACCTACGTAGACATTCCAAAAGAAAGTTCTGTCTTCATATTCATGGGTCTTATAATGGAAATTTCTGTTTTTCCAAGAACCTTTTGTTCTCTTGGCATAAGTGAGGTCTCCATGGTTCTTTGGTATTTTGATCCTATGTGCTAGACATTGTTCAAAGCACCAAGGAAACTGGTTAGCAAAGAACAATAAAAATTTCTGACCTTAAAAAAAATACCCCACTCCCGACCCTTGTCCGGGTATGAAGTGCTCAGTGGATTGCCAAAAGGTCAGTGGTTTGAATCTACTAGCTACTCTGCAGGATAAACCACTGGCAGCCCCACTTCTGTAAAGATCTCAGCCTTGGGAAACCCCACAGGGTAGTTCTACTCTGTCCTACAGGGTCACCAAAAATCAAAATTGTTGGCACAGCAGAGAGTGGGTTCTTAAAACAGAACAAAAAGATCCTCAAACTACTTTGGAAAGACAGTTTTTAAAGTGCTGTGCCTTTAGTATGTTAAATCGCTTAATACTCTTTAAGCACCAATCTCACTGCCTCAATATCTAGCTTGCAAAATTTACAGTGTAGTTTTATTTAACTGTAGTCATGCATCAGTACATTAAATGTATTGGGAAGGATAAACAAAGAGCTAATGGTAATCAGAAATATCTATTAAGAAAATTCAACTCCAAAATTTGTTCTGTATTTTCCACAAAATAAGAAATGCATAAATTTTTATTTAACATAGTGAGGAAAACAAAGGCTGAAGAGAAAATATATTAGATATCCATTATTTCTAGAGAAAACTGCTTGGTCTGTCATTCTACACCTAAAGTTAATTCAAATAGAAAAAAAAAAAAAGATGAGGAAGCATCCAGGCATCTAGAAAGTTTTAGTTTAAAAGTGAAAGCTATGGTTTTCCAAATGTGTCACTCCATGGAATTCGGCTTATTCATTTAAGGGTTGAGGGTGATCGTGCTTTCCAGTTGATTGGTTTAATATAATTGTCAGCATTTCTTTTCCAACTCCTAGTTGACTATGTAGGACCTGGGGTCCTAACAGCTTACAAGGCTATCCCCAAGTGTAACATTTGTAATTGCCTCCGTGAACAAAGGCCTCCATTGCATTAAGACCAGAAGAACTGCATGGTGCCTTGCCACTATTTCTGAATGCTTCAATCAATGATTCTACAGGAGTCTGACAAAAAAGGAGATCAAATTGTAAAATCATATCATGAAATCCAGACTCTCTGGAGCCACTGATTGGATAAATTCTCAAACTACTGCCTTGAGATAACCTTTTAAACTACTGCCTTGAGATAACCTTTAACTATTAAGTCATAAACCAAAAACATTCCTGAAGCTGCTGTTACAGCAAACAACCATCTAGCTTAACTAGTCAAGAATGTGGATGGTAAACATTATGCGCTTTTAAAGAAAACATTGTATACAATGGAACTCTTACCAGCATCTCAAAACGTTCAAAGTAAACGTTCAAAGTTTTACAAACAGAGAAAGAAGAAATCGGAACAGGAAGAAGAATGCTGCACACTCTGAGGAACATAATGTCACTGTATTATACTTATTCAGATTGTTGGCCTCGTGTGTATGTTGCTGCGTGTATATATTCTACAATTAAAAAAATGGTTTATCCCCTTTACTTGCATGGACTTAAACCCTTAAGAGAACATACAAGCAAATGATAAGTACAGGACTCATCAGAGGTCTGTGTGAGGGGAAAAGAAGCTGTTCTTTGTTGCTAACTACAGCTGGCACAGCACCAATGGATCCTGGGAGAGGCTCTATCCTACCCAGTAGGTCCCCAGCAGGAACAACTGGTGATCTGCTCCTGCAAGATTACAGCTTATTAGCTAACCCCACGGGGACCTCTGCTCTGTCACACGGGGCTGCTGTAGTAGAAATGGGCTCAGTGGCAGCTAACAGCAGCAGCAACAGCACAGTTCACCATCAGATGAATATGGACATAAGCACAGGCTGAAACTGCCTTCCTCCATGTGTTAAATAATAACAGTAGCGAAATTTATTGAACTGAATCCTTATGATTTTAAGGATTGTTATAATTTTCAATGCTGTAAGAAAATTCTGAGAAAAACTCTTAACAATATGCAGGAAAATAACCTAAATAAACCAATGTGATCCAGTCTTGTCCGTGGGCAAGTAGATTGTCCTGCAATTACAGTCTGCAAATGCTGATACAGTTTGCAGGTTATCTCCCGAAATTCTGCCCTAACCTCACTTTCTCAATTTTGCTATCCTTGGCTACCAGTTAGTGTTACTGTCATTTCCTACAATTTCATAGTTATGCAACTTCACGTCTACAGATTTCTATTTCATGTCTTTTCTACTTTACCTGTAGTAGATAATTCTATCCATTTACTAAACTAGTACTTTAATACCATATGCCATCTTTAAATGAACGAACTTAGAACAATACTTGGACTGCTACAGGTTCACAATGTATACTAAATTCTCTATGTTCTATCCTCTTTATGAATGCACGGATACTAACATGTTTACATGTGCTGGTAAAGGAAAGGCCGGTAGTACGAATCCACCTAGGGGCAGCACCCAGAAGAAAGGCGTGGAGGTCTACTTCTGAAAAAACAACCACTGCAAACCCTACAAACCACAGTGCCACCGAGACACACATAGGACTGCGATGATTTGGAATCAACTTAACCAATACCTTTTCTTTTTAATGCTACAAACATTAAATACATGCCTGCTATGTGCTATTGGCACTGTGTAAGAAATATTTCCTCCTCTGAAAAAGAAAAGGCCTATTTTAAAAAATCTTGTAAGTTTTTTATAGGTTAGTCTGATTTTCTTTAATTATATAGTGCAATTATTTATATTTTATTTTTACAAAGGAAAATTTGTTCTTAAAAAAAAGCACACAACCTGTTGTAAGCAAACAGCATTATGCATATGCATGCACAAAGAGGGATTATTTTGGAAGTCTATATACTGCTTCTCTTGTAGCAAAGTATTCTCCCTGGTAGTGTCCATTCTCCCTGTTGAAACAGGGGTACTGGACCCCAGGACAATAAGGTATACAGGATACTGCTTCTGTCTCATTCACTTGACCACTCTTAAGATTCTGAATAGAGCTCAAAATTTCAAATTCTATATCAAGTCTGGCTAGACCAGAGGATGTACACTGGTACAGATAGGAACTGGAAATACAGGGAATCCAGGGCGGATAATCGCTACAGGACCAGTGGTGTGAGTGGTGATACTGGGAGGGTAGCGGGAGAGTGGTTTGTTAAGAGGGAACCAATTACAAGGAACTATATGTGACCTCCTCCCTGGGGGACGGACAACAGAAAAGTGGGTGAAGGGAGACGTCGGACAGGGCAGGATATGACAAAATAATAATTTATAAACTATCAAGGGCTCATGAGGGAGTGGGGAGCGGGTAGGGAGAGGAAAAATGAGGACCTAATGCCGAGGGCTTAAGTGGAGAGGAAATGTTTTGAGAATGATGAGGGCAATGAATGTACACGTGCTTTACACAATTGATGTGTGTATGGATTGTGATAGGTTGTATGAGCCCCCAAATAAAATGGTGTAAAAAAAAAAAAATTCAGATGTTAGATACCATATATACTCGAATATAAGACAACCCGAATATCAGCGAGGCACCTAATTTTACCACAAAAACTGCATAAAAATGTGCTGGAAAACTCAGCTTATGTATGAGTATATACGATATATACAAATACACAGTGTTACAAAACTAAGTAAATTAATAAACCCAAAATTCAAGTAGAACTTCTTTGATCAAAAGCAGAAGTTTAGCCTTACCTGGAGTAGATTTAAGGGCCTGAGGTTTGTAGAATTTTTTAAGCCAAATGGAACACCTGTTAAAGAAATCCACAATTGTAACAAGGAAATAAATTTAACTACATGATAAAACAATCGATAATTTTAGTATATGCAAAACCATAGGACCCCGACTGGTACAACGGTTAATGGCTTTGCTATTAACAAGTTAGCAGTAGCAATCTGCTTCTGTCCAGACGACAGCCTGGAAGGCCTGTGGGCAGCCCTACTCTGTCCCCGGGCCGTGAATGAGTTGGGATTGACGGTCAGCACCTAACAGCACGCAGAACGAGAGCACTGCAGATACTCTCCGCACAGGTGCACTTATTGACCACGCTCTTAATCACCTTCGAAACACAGGAAAGGTTTTTCCTATTTATCAATGCTGGAAACGGTATGTTTTGTAACACCAGCTTCATATTTTAGACCCTGGAACTTCTTTACCACTGTTTTAATGACCGGCTGGAAAAATAATAACCTACAAGAATGTGGACACTATGAATGTAATAAAACTATCACTTTTGTGCAAGTCTTTTACAGGCATTGCCATCTATTTATAATTTTTATTACTTTGGAGAACCAATACTATTTTTCCATGAACTTCACGACGCTCATTCATACATATCAAGTCTTCTAAACATACAATTTTAAGTGGGGATAAAACAAAAGAGGCGAGCAATTCACATGTGAAAGAATCAAAGCCTTGTGTGGGAGACGGCAGCATTGGTATCACTTTCAGGTAGCCTTCCCATGAAGAGAAATGGCTTCATTTCCTTTAGACATTAGATCTGTACATCAATTTATAGGTTTACTTACGAATGACAAGCACCTTTATATCACTTCACCCATGTAGCTAAGTATTTTTACTTGCATTAGAGAAAAAGCAGTCAAAGGAATGAAAATTAAGGTCCCACAGTTAGCAACTGAATGGAACTGTCTTGCAGCTGGCAAAATTGACCCCAAAACCCTAAGAGATGATTCTGTCTCCAGGGCTCCAGTAACTCAGCACATTTATGCACATAAAAATAAGAAATCCAACTAGAATTATGAAATCACAGCTTTAGGAGGGTTCTCTTTCTCATAACATAACTTTCTGGCAAACTGTTCTTAATACATCAAGTTGTTTTTACTATTAAAATTTTCCTCATAGGAAAAAGAATTGCTCTGAGGTATTATAAACTTTGTGGAGAATTAGAATTAAGATACTGAAATTCTAACACAAATGTTTTGAAGTTTCTTTCACTGCTCTTTTAAAGAATACATAGAAAGCGTCATAGCTATGGCACAATCATCAATGAAGGTGATCACCACAATAAAGCTAACACTAAAAATGACGGTAACACACACATCCTTTGCTGTATAACCCTTGACCCATAGCAATCTTATAGTGAACCTACAGGACTGAGTAGATCTGCCCCCTCACATTTCAAAAGTTTTATTCTTAAAAATTTTTTTATTGTAAACTGGATGAAGATTGACAAAGACCGTATGTTTTATATTTAACAATTCATACAGATTGTACTATAGCTCACTCACTGCAAGAGCCCTCAGTGCAACATCATGGAGCCTGGGTTTCCATTTCTATTCTTCCTTTCCTAACCCTTCTCGACTCTGTGCTTGGGCCAATGCTGCTCTTCTGGTCTCAAGTACTTGATTACTTATTCTAAGGTGTGTGTCTATCATTAGTGTTACTGTTCCCCTTATAAACGGATGTCTGTATTTTCAGCTAAAACTTGAGCTATGTGAATAAGTTGAATTCTAGACCTATTAGGTGACTAAAGGTCATATCCTTGGACCCTTAGGTCAAGGTCTCAGCAGTCTCTATGCAAACAGGAGCCTGGTCTTTATCATTTTTAGTTTTATTCCACATTTTTCTCCCATTTTACCTAGGAACTCTAATGAAGTCCTTTACAAAATTGTTAGTGGTAGCTGGGTACCATCTAACTCCTCTGGTCTCGGGGACAGGAAGACTGATGTTTGCATGGTCTATTAAACTGCTTCTACAAATGATTTTTCATCACTTGTCTTTCCCCAGGAAAGGAAGAGACCCTAAGTTGCACCTTACATGGTTGTTCATGAGTTTTTAATACCTGAGTTGCTTACTCACCAAGTAGGATGTGGAACATCGTCTTACATCATCTTCAGCCGACTGACCTTAGTATCACTCCAGACTTTGGGTCTGAGCCCCCTGGCCTAGCAACTCATTCTCTCAAGATATTTATATCTAATAAGTTTCCATTAATTTTGACCCCTGTATGATGCACTGTATTCACGGATATATTTGCAGTAAAGGTAAATACCCATATACAAATATTTGATGCCAATTTTAAAAGTTGATGAAGTTATACTCCACTTTCCTTCTTACAGCTGTGTCTATCAATGCATCTAATTGTAAATTATCATTGTTGCAGGATTGTGTATGAGTCATTTACCTCTGTTGTCTCCACCCTAGCACTCTTCTAGGGTTTCTCCCCCACCCAACTCAATATCAGTTATTTCCAACCCCCCTCGTATTGTATATTGCAAACACTGTAATCTTTACAGAAGCAGACTGCCTAGTATTTCTCCATTAGAGCTTTTCTTGGGTTTGGGCCCCTGACCTTTGTTAGTATGTAACCACTCACCACCAGAGCTTTCATGATGATGACTGTCAATCAGGGCCCTGGCTCAGTGAACGCCTTTCATTTGCATTTACTCTTTTAATCTGTACAATTATCTGAGGTAAGCAATTACAGGTCTGCCCACTATCCAAAAATAAAGCATTCTTATGAAATCTTTTATAAGCCAAAATTACATTAGTTTATAAGGGAGAGAACTGTTGAGCTTTTGTAGACCCAAAATATAATCATTCAGTGATACCAAACATCACACAAAACCTAAAATTACACTAACACAGTAAAGGAAGGAAATAAACGATAAATATATAGTTGAAAAAAGTATAGATACTGTCTGTACAGTGTCACTCCTAGGGAAGGAGCTTAGCAGAAGTTGTCTTACTGCTCAGGGTACATGCTGCCTCTTTTACTATCTTGCTGTGAAACAAATGCTAACAAATAGTTATGATTTTCACCTTTTTTGGTAAAAGTGAAAATCCTCTTCATATGCATTTCTCTCCCTTAGAAAAACAGGTACAGATGTAGATCTTTCATGAAAGCAAAGTGGTGGAAGGTGAACTTTTGAAAAGCAGAAGATATCTGTTTTACTATCCTCCATTTTACTCCTAAGAAAAATGAGGTACAAAAAGTAATTTGCCCAAGATCACACAGCTAGTGACTTGCCTAGCTGGGACTTCAATTGAGGCAGGCAGGTTCAGAATCCAGGAGCCATACCAACATGCTCAGTGGCCTGTCTTACTTTAAAATATATTTTTTTAACTAGACTTTGAATATAATGACAACGAGTATGCTACTAAACTCATAATGTTCAGAAGGCAATAGATACAATTTGCAAGGACTTATCAACTTTTCCACCACATAGGTTGATGGTTTCAAATTCAAATCTAAATAGCAGTAATTTGAAGGCTTCTGAAATCAACAGAAACAATACTTCCTAAAATGATGCTAAATGCCTTTAATTATATCCTCAAAATGATATTACTATATTAACACCCACTTAAATTTTTTTGGTTACTATTTCCAATATTCTGACCTGCTTGAGAAGCTGGCAGTGCACCTGGCAATGCATTTGGTAGCAGACCTCCTGAGGGAAGAAGGCCACTTAGATTTATTCCTGCAGGAGCTATGGCACCAGTGTTACAGCCCAGCATGGGGTTTGAACCACTCATCAAAGTCTGGGCTCCACTGTAGGAGAATAAAGACAAAGCTTTAAACTTGGACAAACGAATACAAAGCAAAAATAAACAAACCAGGTACTAAATAATCACAATTAGATAGTATTTCTCTGTCTTTGGTATCAATTCTATGAACAATTTCATTCTTATTTTACAAAGTGTTATTAGCAAGGTTGGCTAAAAATTAAGCAGCATGAATTTACCAAAGTTAAACATTAATCTAGTCAAAGGATTAAAAGGTGGTGACACAGAGGACCGAAATGTAAGCTGCTGCTCATGTGTCCTTAGTACAATTGATGTACTGCCTAAAATTGAAAATATGTATTTTTGAGTTTGTTTCTATCTGTACCTATTTTCTTTCAGTTTGAGTGATAAAACAAGTTATTTATTTCATAAATCAGATTTGTTTAGATAGGTGAGCTATACTTTAAAAAGCATCAGCACAGAAATGCAAACTTACCAAACAGGGCCAACTACATTGATGAAATTAAGTCCAGCAGAGTTAGCCATGACTTGGGTGGCCGTGGTTCCTGTCGTTATAGACGTTACCATGGTGGAAAGAGGAATGGTCGTTACAGGCATTGCCTGGCTCAGAGACCTTTGCTGCTGAGCAAACTGAGTTAACAAAGTGGGCTGAGGGGTGAAGCCTGAATCTTTGGGAGTAGGGGTGGCAGAAGGGGTGATAGGAGTTGAGCTCTGAGCATCAGGAGGGTGTGGGGTCGATGAAGGGGTTGGTGTAGGAGTAGATGGCTTAGGAGTTCCAGATCCTGCTCATTGAGAAAAATAAAAATGGCTAGTTTGTTATAAATGGCCAGTCCTTTTAAAATAAGGTTAATGGAATCTTACTTAGTACTGATAATTTGTTCCAGTTTTTTTTAAGCAGTAAACTGCAAGTGTTAATTTCTATACATGATACATGAGTGTTGCTACACTCAATTACAATTAAGGATGCAGTATATCACCTAACCCTCCTCCCCCATCAGATACTATTACAATAACAGTAAAAATATACATTTGTATTCTACCACAATACCCACTTAAGGTTAGTTTCTTGCATGCTGTATTTGTCCTAAACAGTCTAAAGGAACTTAAATCAATTTTTGTTATTTATGATGTCACATTGGAGGGCTTCATTTCAAAATATTGCTTATTTTCTGTTATAGTCTCAGATACACTCTGAATATATCCAATGAGTTACATATGGTTAACAATCATATTTGGCACCTAAATATACATGTGTATCTCCTAACACATCAAGTTATCCTGACAAATTTACAAAATGAAAAAAGAAAACAGGAATAAAGTATTTGATCGATAATACTGCATCTTTAACAGTAACTGTGTACTTCTGTTTAAATATAGGATGTATTGCAAATTTGTTGTGAATTAAGTATGCACAGTTAATAAAAATTAAAACAAAACAAAACAAAAACGAAAAACAAAAAAAACAAAAACCAAAAGCTCTTGAGGTGTTTTCTTTTTTAGCTTTCATGTCCTGCAGAAAGAAAGGAAAGAAATGTGAATGTCCAGAAGCTGTCATTCAACCCTGACTTAAAGTAACAACTGTGTGCAGTAGATTAACATAATCTATACCCACAACATAAGTAGTGTGAATAAGACGTTTAGAAAATTTATAAAAGTTTTTCTTTGTGCAAAACAAGAAGGCAGAAAAATTACACCTTTTGAGCTATCAAGATAGAGATGCTTACATCTAGTACGAAGACCACTCTATCACTGTGCAGTGCACTAAAACTTCCAGCACACGTCAATTACCTATTAAAAAATTCTAAAAAATCTGGAATGCTTTTTCTTTTTACAAACTGATACCTAAGTATCTCAGATATTTATTAATTGGAAGAAATTCTCCCCAACTAATGTTAGAAATTCTTTTATACTTTGTCTTGATGTCAAAAAAAATTTACTAAAAATTACAATTTGATCATCCCATTTTTAGAAACTGACAACCATGTATAAGAGGGTAGAAGTGTATTTAAAAAATCAGTTTTAAATGTACTGTACCATCACCTTTGAACTAGTTGGCCTGCTACAATTCAAAGGTAGGACTGCAGTGATATCTCTCAATTTTTTTTCTCTGTTACATCCATAATATACATAAAATGTGTAACGATCCTAGGATACACGAAAATGAAAGATAAAATGTGGAATCTTAATGTCACATCTAGTCAACAGATTATCTTTTTAAGAGATGTATAGGATGCAAGTCTTTAAGAAAAGTATACACAAAGTGTATACAGAAAAGCAAATTAAATCACAAGAAACATATAATACATACAATTGGTAAGAGAGCTGCCTGAAGCTTCTCACAACTTACACATTTGAGGTACAGAGTACATTCAGATTTCATTATTTCACTGGCAAAAAAAAGCTGTCTTAAGAAGCATGAATGCAAAAGCTTATTAAGATTTAATGAAAAGCTGAAGTTATGACTCACTTTGTGACGAGCTAGCAGGTGACAAGGCCGCGGGAGAAAGCATGCTAACTTGACTGAGATCCACAGATGACTTCCGAGACAGAGATGGTGGCTTAGAAGAAGGGGGAGGAGTTGGAGATTTAAGAAAGCTGCTTGCTTGTTGTGGAGTAAAATAGTTACCTAAAAGAGAAATAAAGAAGCTTTCTCCTAAGTATATAATTCAAAATCCTATGAATTATACAAATCAGAGACCATGAACACATGGTATTTCTTATTCTAGATCAGAGGATTAAGGAATGTAATACCTGAGGAACTAGTTCCTGAGCTTGAGGGAAGCTTGATGGGTGGAGGCCGATGCTTAACACCCTTACCCAACACTGAAGACTGAACGGACGCAGTCTCAGACTGTAAAGAGAAATACACATCCTTGTTAAAAATGAACAGTCCATCAGAAATTCCTACATGAAGATCTCTACATTAGTTCCTAGACAACCCACCTCCCCAAAAGGCAGCAGTTCTCGACACCACCCCCAAAGGCAGCGGTTCTCAACCTGTGGGTCTGGACTTCTTCGGGGGTTGAATGACCCTTTCACAGGGGTCACCTGATTTATAACAGTAGAAAAATTACAGTTATGAAGTAGCAGCGAAGATAATTTTATGGTTGGGGGGGGTCACCACAACATGAGGAAATGGCATTAGGAAGGTTGAGAACCACTGTCTGAGATGAAAGCACACAGTTTAAGACTCCAAAAAGCACTCTTTGAAAAGTGGCTTCAGATATAATAGATGTTGTAGAGACATGTTTTTCACATGAGAGCCAAGAAATAAATGAGTCAATATAAAGTATGAAAGAAAGCTTTTTGATAATTGTGTTGGGGGAAATAGTTTGAGGGAGAAGGGCAAGAAAAATAATTGTGGAAGCCAGGTGATGAGTACATAGGTGTGTTCACATTTTTCTCTCAACTCTGGCATATATTTAGAATTTTCTATTATAAAAAGTAAAATATCCAAAAAAAGTTTTAAAACACAAACCCCACCACCCCCCAACCCCCGTTCTTTATTTCCTTAAAGAATAAATAAATTTATTCTTTAAAGTTCCTCAGAATTCTAGAGAAATCATTAACTGGCTACAAAAGGTAGCCATGACCAAACATACTTCTGATTCTTTCCCTGGAGAATGCTGACTCAGACTGGCTGAGCCGCTGGAGCTGTGTGACATCTTGATGGGACATTTGGCTTCATTCTGGACCAATTCCTGGTACTGGTTTACCACCCTGGAGGATAAGTGAAGAAACAGATAAGGATGAACTTAACGGCTTTGAACAAAAATATAACCTAAAGTAAGTATCATTCTGCAATACAAATAATGCTATCAAAACTAACTCAAGAGTAGAATTAGGCAAGTGACTTATCTTTGTGGACAGTCTATGATTCTTTTCAATGTCAAATTAATCCTCAAAACATTTTTCAAATTAACTAAAGAGAGACTATGCATATCTTATTTTCTAATACAGAACTTATAGAAATTGCATAACTGAAAAGCAGCTAAATCACTCAATGACTTTCACTTAAGATTCGGATCAAGAAGTCATCTTCCTATGTTATGGTGGATAAGTTTTCTTCGTAAAAGTAAAGCTGTATTTTAAGTATTATTTCTTTAATGAAATCGTTCTCACGTGTTTATGAAAAACACTCTAGTTATTAAACATTAGGGAAATGGAATTATGTCTCTCCAAATCAAATATCATACCATGAAAATAACCATGCCTAGTCATTTCCATTTAAACATTCCCAAGAACTGTGAAATTTTAGCACTGGGATAAAAAATCTTATTTATAATTGTGGGTCATAAATATTAAATTGTTCATGTCTAATCAGTTAATCAGGAGCCCTGGTGGCTTACTGATTCCATGTTGGGTCAGCAGTCCCAAAGGTCAACAGTTCAAAACTACCAGTCTCACTCCTTAGGAGAAAGATGGAGTTGTCTACTTCCATAAAGAGTTAACAATCTCATCCTTGGAAACTCAGAGGCAGTTCTGTCCTGTCCTATATATAGAGTTGCTATGAGCAGACATTGACTTGATGGAGTGAGTTTACTCGTCAGGTTTTAACCAGTTAATCACCCAATTAAAATCAAGGTTTATGATTTCAAATAGAGAAAAGAGTTGAAAGTTTTTCATACACATTCAGGCCCAAAACAAAGAGAGTTTTACCTCTGAGCATCTGTCTTTGATCCAATGATGAACCTAAGATGGTAAAACAAAACAAAGCTTTAGGATCAGAGTTTATCTTAAAGACCCCTGGTGTTACTTTTCAAAGCTTTCATATTTTAGAGAAGGTAATTATTTTATCTTCTCTAAATTAATTTTAAATATAACAAAGCATCATGAGAAAAGTCTAAAACTAAACTTAAACATATGCATGCATTATGAAGTAATCATTTTAATGGCTGACTTAAAAATGAAAAGGACATTTCTTTTAGCACAAGACTTACACATCACGATAAAATCTGGGGTGAGTTACTAAGTGCTTTATACTCTGAAATGCCAGATCTATGGCCCAATCACCACTGTGTTATTGTGTGCAAGAGCTTGGCTCTTCCTCCCACTGTAACCTCTGATTCCAAAGCCATTATCGAAATCACCACAGTGGAACCTTAGACTATATTTCAGACAAGTTCCAAAAGAATGTTTATTATTGCTAATTCAAACGAAATGCTTTTAGCAAGTTTTTTTTTTTTGGGGGGGAGAGTTTGACACACAATACAATTTCTTAACATTTTAATATGAGCTTAGTTTGTTTATTTTTAATTACCAGTTTGAACGATCATCTGTGGAGGAACTGAAATTAAAAAACAAAATAAGGACCTTGGTTAATTTTGCTCAAACATCAGCTTTACAGTTATTAGAACATGTATGTCTCTTAATATGAAAGAGAAATCTAACAAGCCACACAGCATTTAGCCCTATAACGCCGAGCACGCCGTTTTCGTAACATTTAATTAAAACGTATATATTAATATATATGTTGATAACTATGAAAGTAAAGAATAAAAACAAACATTTCCCCCCCTGAAATTAAAAATTCAGGCGTTATAGGATGAGGCAGTGATTCCCAGAAGTAAGGCAAAACATCAAATTCCCTTTTTATCAAACACATTGATTCAGTTGGTGGGCTGGACTGGTGCTTTTCTACTGGAAGGAGAACACATGCCTCAAGCTCTAGGAAAGTAGTAGTTTTACTTAAAATGATCAGGGGTCATTTGTAGGGGATACCTTCCCTCTCCCCCAGAGCTAGGTAACCATATCTGACACCTCTGTACTCTGTACAACAGAAACTGCCTGCTCTGTTGCTATTTTTCTCCCATCACTTTTCCCTTAGGTATTGGTAAAGTCACTCTTTAAAAAAAGACATTGCACTGCCGTTCTATTGGATTTTTTGGTATGAAGCTTTATAAACAATTTAACACCCTCTTGGCCCGTGCCTTTTCTGCTCTCTTTTAATATTTTCTTCTTTTCAATAACGCATCAACTTGATTGGGAAACAGATGAAATTAAGAAGAAAACTGAAAAGTAGTACCCTACACTAAACATAAATAGCCCATGAGAGGTCAGCTCAATCACATGTATCCATAGAGCCAATGACCACATGACACTCCTTGTCTGTGACCTTATCCACAGCCCAGGAACATGAGGCATCTTCAATCGGCTTTACAACATCTAGAGATCTTGCCTTCCACTTAAATACTCACTTACAAAGAGGCTAACGTCATAGGTGGCTACCCACAAATACAGCAAGAAGGATCCTTTAAAGCAAGTATAGAAATAATCATCAAATAGATGCTTTAGAAAAAGTATTGCTTAAAATATTAAACTCTATGATTTAAGTTTCTTTACAAGTCTAACTGGAATACTTAACCAGCAAATGAATTCCCAAAGTGAAACTGACCCCTTAATGTGTTAACAGATGTTGTTAAGTAAAAACTAACGTGCCTTACTATGACAATAACATGCACTCAACAAAACTTACTGGGATGGAGACATCTGGCTATCATTGTCATCATTATCTTTACATGGCTGTATTTTACCATAGTAAAGTGGATCACCAACTGACTGTATAATGGTCAACTTTGTTTTCTGATACTGATTACCAGCTTCACATTCAAATACATAGTCATCTTTAACCTCCTAAAAAGATAGAACATTCAAAATAAATACCTTTTCAAATAAATTAATAATCATACTGAACAAAAACCAGGAAATAAATGACGAGCCACATCTGGAAGTAGGAAGGAACATGGCAAGTAGGCTACAGAGTGGTTAACTGCCTAAGAAAAGGTAGCACAGGATCCTTTGATACATGGTTACTTCAGGAATGAGCTAGTTTCTGGGTAGGGCAAACCATTACTACTTCTGGCTGCTAAGCAAAAGGCTGGTAGTTTGAGACCATCTGGATTCTAGAAGCACTTAACAAAAAAAGGCCTGATGGTCTACTTTAAAAAATCAGCTTCTGGACACAGACGTAGCACAAGGTTCTATTTTGACACACATGGTGACACCATGAGTTACCAACTGTTTTTGCTGGCATTTTTTCCATGGGGCATGAGTTCTAACAGTTTTGGTTAACCAGGTTTTATGAAAAAATATAGCAAAATGCCACATTCTGGACATAGGAATGGAAACTATTAACTAATACCAGAAGGATAAAACCTTCTAAAGCAGTTCTATTAGTCACAAGTTTTTTGTTAACACATATACAAACATTTGCTAGTCATTTCATTTCCTTCAAACAATGGAACAGAAACCTAGTTTCCTTCCCCCCATCCTGCTCCCATGGTGATCCCACAACTGTGGCATAGGGGTTCCAGGCTGCAGCCCTTTAGAACCAGCTCACCAGGCCTTTCTTTTGAGGTGCCTATGTGGGGTCAAACTGCTAATTAACCGTTTAGTTAGAAATGGAAACCTAATTGTATGTGCCTTCTAGGGACCTCTACTTTGAGAAGAGATTACTGCAATTACATTTCTACTGAGAGATAGATATCTTTATAAAACGAATCACTAATTTAAAAGAGGAAAAAACTCTTCAGTACTTATATGCAACTAAAAGTAAAAATTTATGAAGGCTGGTCTTTAAAATGGAGACTATGGCATTATAAAGAAAGAAAACGTGAATTGCCTTTTTGTAATTAATTAAATTCTTCAAAAAAGTACTCTAAAGACTGTCTTAAACTACAAGCAACTACACTTATGTTTAATAAATATGAATCAGAGATTAGAAACAGTGTTACCAGACAGGGAACCTGGAAATAATTACTTACCTGGGCGGGCCATACTATCGGTTGTGAGTCGTCAGTTTTGATACATGTTTCTACTTTAGCATATTTATCTACCTGGATGGTCAAATTAAGAGACAACAGATTATAATGGGATATGCATTCTGATAAAAAATGAGAATGTAACTACACCAACAATGCAACATCGTTTTCATCAGGAAGGTTCTTGAGTCACTAGCACCAGCAGCTACTTAAGGCAGTGGTCTAACTCTCCGGGTGTGTCTGTGTGATATAATTGGCTTTAAAACTTATCAAAGTTGGCATCCCCTTAGTGGTTAAACAAACATAATGAACACAGCTGTTTTCCTAGGCATTGCCTCTTCTTTTTAGTTCCTAAATTGACACCGCATTTGTTTTTTATAGCCCTTTAGGAAAACTAAGAGAGGATATAGGGGTAAAAGGGATTTTCGTATAGAGGGGGTAAAAAGAACCCCCCAAGTGCCGGATCCTTTCCCTTTGGCTTAGTTATGTTACAAGAGGAACTGTCATATTATAAACTCATTGGGTCGCAAACCCTTTGGGGGTCAAACAACCCTTTCACAGAGGTCACCCGATTCATAACAGTAGCAAAATTACAGTTATGAAGTAGCAACAAAAATGTTATGGTTGGGGGTCACCACAACCTGAGGAACTGTATTAAGGGGTCGCAGCATTAGGAAGGTTGAAAACCACTGCTCTACAGGCTATCTGAAGCTGTAAATCTTAAAGGAGCAGATCTTTTTCCAGGAGAGTGGCTGATGGGTTTGAACTGCTCATCTTGTGGTTAGGATTCCACTTATTTGATAGCACCACCAGGGATTCTAGTTGGGACAAATCAGGAAGATGACTGAGGAAGTTACAGTATGAAAACTGATAAAACTTTTGTAACATTTTGCCATTTTCTAGTCCAAGTAGGACCATGAGTATGTGGATCAAATGTTATCACTTTCCCGAGTCTAGAATAACAGACTGAAAGGAGAATTTCCATGGCCCTTCTCAGGAGACCCTCAGATAGTAGGCTGGTCTGAGGTTGTCTTGAAATGTATGTACAGTATTTAATAGGTATCCTGGTGATTCTTCAGATCAAGTTTGACTGAGAAAGGTGACATTCAGGCCTTGTTCCTCACAATGGAAGCCCAACACCTGTACCACATGGAAGCTCAACACAAGTACAGCATCTGAGGCCTGCATCCATAGCTGATGAACTGCACCCTGCAATGCCACAAGCTCCCAGGTGCTTTGCTCGTATATGAATAGCTTGGAAACACTGCTTTGGATATTAACTGGTCCTTGAAAGCTAAATCCCACCATTCAGTAATTACATTAAACCAAATGTACAAATCTTGTTCCTTGAGGAGTATTTAAACTACTAAAAAGATATTTCTTTCTTCTTTCAGCTGCAGATACATTCCTACTTCACTTATTTCTGGTTTTGTGCTTTCACAATGTCGGTTTTCCTCCCAACAGGCAGGACGTTGAGTAAGGGGACCTGGTGGTAACGCTCCACTGCTGACCTTTGGTTGCTGAACAAAAGGCTGGCAGTTTGAACTCCCTAGTTGTTCTGAAGGAGCAATACGTGGCAGTTTGCTTTCATAAAGGTTACCCACTGCTACCAAGTAGATTCTGACTCATAATGATCCTACAGAACAGAGTAGAAGTGCTTACCAAGGGTGTTCAAGGTTGCATAATTTTACAGGCAGCATACTGCCTCATTTTCTCCATAGTGGGGTTGCTGACCTTGTTGTACTTAGCAGCCCAACTTAAACAGCCCAGTTCACCACCACGGCAACTTACAGGCCAGGAAACCAACAAAGCAGTTCTACTCTTATGCTGCAAGGTTGTTTTGAGTCAGAATCAATTTGATGGCAATGGGTTTATTTGGAATACAGAAAAGAACAGTTCAGTGTGCCAGCCTGTGAAGGAAGCCAAAGAAGAGCAAGCATCTGTTAGAATAACGAGGTGGTTTGAGTGCAGTGGGGTCACAGCTAATGACCACAGAGTAAACATTTGTAAACAGTGGACAGTAGAAAAAAAACAGTAAAAATACGGGATTTCTCAACCAAACCTCCCTTGTCTATACTCATCTATAGTTTGTGGGCATTTAGTTTTACCATTTACTGCTGATGGACATGCAAAGAGTGCATCTTGCCTACTGCTGAAATATTAACTTTTAATTATTTTTAAAACAATTAAAATGAGAATCATTTCATGAGTGTTAAGTACTATATACTATATTTTTTCACATTAAAAACATTTGTTTTTACTAGCCCTCCGTTAATCACAAGATCAAATTCTGGGGCTAAATTCATTACCCAACTTAAAAAGAAAGGAAAAAAAAAAAACAGTTTCTAAAAATAAACAGTTGACATTTAAAATTTTATAAAGACGTCAACTGTCTCTGGCTCTACTTCCCCCAAAACATAACCAACCATATCATGTAAACGTGGGAGCTTTACATAATAGACAAGTAATTCATAGGTTTACTTACATCTACTTCAGAAGGTATGCTCAAATTATTGGGATTCTGTTTCCACATATCTACGCACTGAAAAACAAAACCATTATAAATGCTCTGAAAATTCAAAACAAGGCAAAAGACTTTTGCCATACGAATAAGCTTCACTTAAAAGCAGATACTTACATTTCCTGCTTTAGAGATTTTGAGGTCATAATGCTGACCGGCTTTCCTCTCTTTTCTTTTTTGTAAGAAATCAAGTAATTTCAGCTGAGGAGGAGGTGCACAATGAGACAGATCTTGCTGCCGATTCAGAGAGGACCTAGAATATCTCTTGAAACACCTAAAATAATTAAGAGATTTGAACTAAACAAAACTTAACAAGGAAACTCATACTATGTTGCTTTAACCAGTGAGCACTGACTATTTAATACAACCACATACATTTATAGACCATTATTACCACATGGCCAGACACTCATTGTTATCGATTCAATGCCGACTCAAAACGACCCGCTAGGACAGGGCAGAAATGTCCCTGTGAGTTTCCAAGACTATAACTTTTTATAGGAGTAGAAAGTCCCATCTGTCTCCTTTGGAGCTGCTGGTGGTTTCAAACTGCTGTCCTTGTGGATCCCAGTCCAACATGTAACCACTTCGCAGCCAGCTATCTTTTATAGCTGCTGAGTCTATGATTTTTTTTCTGGTGTTTTAGCTAAGATGTTGTGGTAATTAGTACTTGTAAACCAGTTTAAATAACTTTTTGGAAAGCAAAGTAGTAAAGGGAGAAAAATTGAATAAGGCTTTCTGCTCAGTTATTAATAATGCTATAACCAATACTAAAATCAAACAGTTATAAAACAATTTTATTAGTAGTATTCATATAATGAAAGAAATACTCATTCAGGCAACTTAGGAGTTTTATTTACCAAATACTACTCTATAACTGAAACTGCTAATAAGCACTACTAAGGCTTGGTACAGTGGTGCTCCACGGGTGAACATGTGATGTACTCCCCTGGGGGGACACAAACCCTAGTGATGCCACTGAAGAGAAGGAACTGAAGAGATGAGTATAGGGAAAAACAAAAATGAGGTTTTAAAAAGTGCTGGGGCGAGAACAAGAACTCATTTTGTTTCAATAACAGAAAAGGGTAGGTGTTTTAGAGCATGAGGGTCCACACTGAACCAGGTACCTTTCAAGTCATGACACAGGTTTAAGGGATGCCTTTAAGAGAATCTGAGCGAGGGGTGGCACAATCTGGTTTGTAGTTTTGGAAAAATAACTTTGGTTGCTTATGTGGAAAACAGGCTGGAAGGAAGCAAAACTGGAAGCAGAGCATCAGTTAGTAGGTTTTTAGAAATGCCAAAATGAAGATGGTGGTAGTTTGGATGAAGGAATTGGCAGTAGGGATGGAGAGACTTTATAGGAGCCCCACATACAGACTTCCTTTACTCTTTCTAAAGCCATACCTTTCCTCAGTATAGAGTAAATGATGAAATTCAGAAAACAAATGGGTGTTTTGAGCCCTTTCAGAATTGAAGAAAATTAAAGTGGACAAACCAAATAATTAAAGATAATTTATGATTAAATCAACTACAACTGTAGTCCCAAATTAATACTTAATACTTTGATAAATAGAAAAGAAAGCTAAATTATGACCATACTATAAAAACATATTTAGTTATAAACTGATTTCTAAAACTTGTTATTTTTCCAAATCTATAAAACAATTATGATTTCTGTTAAAGGAAGATTTCATCATATTCCTTCTGTCTTACTTCCCTTCTTAGTCTTTGTGGAATTCTCTCAGGTGAATAGATGATAAATTTACAGGGAGTTTGCTCTTTAGAAGACTGACAAGTATGATAATTTCAATATCAAGTGAAGATTTCAAAAATTACAATATTCATGGAATAAAATATTACACAAAACTATTTTAAAAAGAGAACAATGTCTACTTTGGAAGGAATAAACCAAAACAAAGCTATTGTTGAAAAAAACATTTAAAACTATGTGTCAAAGACGGCACTGTTATGTTCGCCTTCCTACAAAGGCAATTACCGTTTCAGTGGGCGAGTGTTCATTTTCTGCTTGTTATAGAGCAGTCTGTTGGCAGTGCAGGCTACTGCTACTGAAGGGTCAAGACACAGTGGTTCAGCTGTAGCTAAGATCAGTTGGCTCTCAAGTAAAAGTTTATCTTCCTGAAATGTATAACAGGATATCAAGACCAGATTTAAGAGCTTTGAATATAAACTAACAAATACACCTTCCAGTAATAATCCTTAGAATTTTATTAAAGAAAATTGTAAAAATAACATAGTCCAAAAGTTCCAATTTTACAATGAAACCTTACAAACTTGACTGCATAAAGAAACTTCTACAGAAAATTGAATACATGCAATGTATAAAGCGGCCAAACAGTAAGAGTAGAAACAAACAGTAAAAACTATTCATTAACTATTTACTGAGCACGTTCTACGCATTAGACCAGGGGTCCTCAAACTATGACCCACGGGCCACGAGCGGGCTGCTGAGGACATTTATCCTGCCTGCCGGGTGTTTTTGCCCCGTTTGCTTTTTCACTTCAAAATAAGATATGTGCAGTGTGCATAGGAATTTGTTCATAGGTTTTTTTTAAAAACTGTAGTCCGGCCCTCCAACGGTCTGAGGGACAGTGAACTGGCCCCCTGCTTAAAAATTTTGAGGACCCCTGTATTAGACACTCACTATTCTACACATTAGGGATATAAAACAGTGAGCAAAATTGTCTATCCTCAAAATAGTGCTCTTAATTTTCTACTTAAAATAAAAAAAGGACTTAAGCCCAGTAGCTATGTTCATGATGGATCACAGCAACTTTCAATAATTGAGAAATAATGGTCACATTCTACATTCAGCCAACTGTTACAGATTAGAAAAGCCTTTAACATTAATACTTGCAAATTTGATATAATGAATTCCAAAATATGCACAGAGCTTACCGATATTCTGTTACTTTACTAAATGTCATTATTTTGCTTAACCCATGATATAGTTTAATAATTAGTTTAAATTCTAAATATTTTGTGATTTCGGTGAAAGTTTTACACTGAGGTTTCTGCTCCCATTGAAGACTCTATGTAAGGGAGTACCCCCCAAAAACGGAATTGTGCTGGGCGAAGCAGAGCTTTCCCAGTTCCCATTTTTCCCACTATGTGAGCATTGAGCAATTCGCTCTGAGTTAGTGCACCCAGTGGGAAGTGAGTTTTTTGTAATAGCAGTTTCACTTGAACTTCATTTTTTGTGATGACCGATTTAAGAGAACAGCATGGGGCTGTGAAATTTTGTTTCCTGCTTGGGAAAAATGCCACAGAAACTGTTGTGATGTTGAACACAGCTTACACCACCACCACTATGGGAAAAACTCAAGTGTATGAGTGGTTTTCTTGTTTCAAAAAAGATGAAATGTCGACTGATGACAAACCTTGATCTGGACATGTCAACTTCCTGAATGGAAGAAAATGTCAACAAAGTTCATGCACTTGTGCTTGAAGACTGATGATGGGCCACTGAAGAGATAAGTAAGTTATCTGGACTATCTTGAAGCTCCGTTCAGCCAATTTTAATGGAACATTTGGGAATGAGAAGGATCATTGCGATATTTGTGCCTCGGGTTCTGACTGACCAGGAAAAAGAGCATCGAGTAGAAACTTGCCGTGTTTTGAAAGAACAGCTCCGAAGTGACCCAGACTTTTCCCCGAGGTCATACTGGGGAGAGACATGGTGCTATTCTTACAACCCTGAAAGCAAACATCAATCAAGCCAGTGGAAGATGCCATCGTCACCTCGCCCCCAAAAAGCTCAAGTGAAATCAAAGATCAAGATAATGCTCATTTTTTTGAGGTGAGGGGGGAATAGTGCTTTTGGAGTTCATTCCACCAAATCAGACTCTTAATCAAGTTTTCTATTTAGAGGTTTAGGAAAGATTGCACATAACGGTGTGAGACAAAAAAGGCCTCATTTGTGGCAGGCGGGGGACTGTGTTTGCCACTATGACAGTGCATCTGCTCACACTGCCAGTTTTTGGCAAAAAACAGCATGCCTCCTTTGCCCCACATTCCTTACTCACTTGACCTTGCTCCCTGCAACTTCTTTTTATTTCTGTGAATAAGAAGGGGCATGAAAGGACAGAGATTGGAAGACTTAGAAGAGATTAAAAAAAAAAAACAAAGACGGAGGTGCTGTCAAAGCCATCCAAACAGACGAATTTGGAAAATGTTTCCATGAATGGAATCAGATTTGACAAATGGATTAAGTGTAATCGAGAGTATTTTGAAGGTGATAAGGTTGTTGTTTTGTAAAAAAAAATTTAAATACATAACTTAGAGGTAAAAAAGAAATTCCGTTTTTTGGGGTACCCCCCGTTTGCTGTTTATTACAGGTTACATTCTTCACAAAGCATGAACAGTCTCAGTATTTTCATTCTGGTTGTTCCATAGACAACTAAATTCCTAAAAGTAAAATATATCAATTAGTATTCCCGAATAAAAATTTTTGGGAAAAAAATGGCCTCGTTCAATGTTTTCTTCAACCTTCTATTGCGGAAACATTTTACACATACACAAAGTATAGGTAAAAGTATAATTTACCCCCATGTACCCAACATTCAATTTAACTGCTACTCCTAGACTTTTTCGTGTTGCTTGTTTTGTTAGGTTAATTTAAAATGCTCCCCAAATATTATTATTACTATACCTTGAAAAATACCCCATGATGCACTAAGAAACTTTAGTATACAGTTCAGATTAAAATCTGCCGCCCCAGCATGTGTATTATAGTTTTAAACTCTAAACTCAAACAAGGCGTTCACATTGCATTTCTTTATTTTATCCCTCAAATATCTTCTTATCTGGTCACTATTACCTCAATCCCATCTTTTCCTCTGTCAATGATTGTTGGATTTGGACAACTGCTTCCTCATGGCATCTTTTAATCGGATCTTTCCTTCCTCACAAACATTTCCTTAGATCTAGAGGCTGGATTTAACTCAGGTGTTTTTTAAAAGACAATAATTCCTTACAGGTATTACAATATGCTTTCTAGTGCATAAGCAGTGATAAGCAAGTTTAGTCATAATGTCCACATTACAAAAATTCCTTCTTGGAGAGAAGGGAAAGAGCTTTTGGTTTAATGGTTTCCAGATCTATGTTTACCTTTAGCATTTTATTAATAAGAGTACCATATTGATCATTTAAATTCTCAATTATCAGTCTTTTTTCAGTCTTTAGCTGGAACTTTTCTTAAGTATATTTCCTAAGTTACTACTTGATTAACTAAAATATGGGCCACACTGTATTTCATACTGTACTATACAGTATAAGAATAGGAACATATTTACAGTATAAAATGTACAAAGTATGTTACAATAGGAAGGTAAAATAAATCCCATATTCTCCTAAGTTTCCAAAGGAATTAGTTTCTCAGTAATCACTAAAAACAGACGATGAATTACTTTTAAATATTTTCTCAAAATCTTTTAATCTTTTTGTAAAGGAAAAAATTATAGCCCTAATCAAAACAGACCACTTGATACTTAATAAACTTAATTTTTATATTTCACTTTAGTTGTTTCAGTATTTCAATATTCTCAGTATTTCAGTTCTCACTTCCACATTGATGTTTTCTTTGACTTAATAATTACTACTCTAAGCAGCAGAGCACTACACATAAATTAGTGAATCAGAAGTGCAGGGTTAAATGTCCCTTTGTAGGGGAATGAGAGGCCCCCTAATGCCAAGGCAAACAGCATGAGTGACAGAGATAGATAAGGCCTGTGTTAGCATCCTGTGATAGGAAATCAGGATCTAGATGGGTTTATGGTGCACCAAAAGCATCTCTCTTTTGTTTGGGAGATGACACAAGCAGTAGCTTTCACACTGAGAACATCAGGCCAGTCTGGTGCTACTTCCCTGGGATTGTAGTTCTTAGAGAAATCATTGCCATGTGAAGTTGGACAATGAATAAGGAAGACTGAATAAGAAGCCTCAATGGCACACAACAACATCATTGTAAAGAGACACAACAACAAAAGGAACAGCAACAACATTTATGAAGAGACCCTGGACTCTAAAGCTCATAAAGGAATTCCAGATAATTTTTCAAGAAAGGTGTCCAACTTTATCTGGTAAACATAAATCTGTCTCGAAAGTGTCTTTTGCATAACATAATGACGATCAGGGTTTCATCATTCTGAATTTGCCTGTGTGGGATTAAAAAACAAAACCAACTAACCTGGGTCCATTTATGGTTATCACTTGTTATTGAATGCACATCACAGATTAAAGTCTAGAAAACAAAACAAAAATATAAGCATGGTAATGTAAAGGCAAACAAACAGGAGTTAAAATAAAACTACAACTGAAGTATAAAGTAATACTTGTTAAGCTTTTCTTACCTGCATTGTTGGTCGTAGAAGAATATGCCTACTTTGGTAACCAGGAGATTTCATATTGCTGGACTGCCTGTAGTCACGTATTTCTGCTATGACACATCCACAATGAAATATATTAACCTGTTGTGAGTGAAAACAATTTTGAAAGCCGATGCAGGAGGATTTAGGTAAGAGTCCATGCTCTTTCCAATCTGATACAATATTTCTGGCTTTTCACGTATGCTTCAATTGAAGTGATAACATTCCATTAAAGTACTGCTTTCTAGTCCTTTCTCTAAGGCATTCTGGTGGCACAATGCCTGAGGGATCAGCTGTGAATGGTAACGTCAGTGGCTCAAACCCATCAGTTGCTCTGCTGGAGAAAGAAGCAGCTGCCTGCTTCTGCAAAAACTTACC